ACCTCTACTGGACTATCTCCATTCTTCTTCATACACGGATACCATGTCGATCCAGTCGAAGTGATAGAAGTCCAAGCAGAGAGAGGACCAGAGATCGCAGCGGAAACGTTCACGAACCGGCTACGAGACGCCACCGATTGGGCAAATGCAGCGATGGCTATCGCCCAAGAACGCCAACAGGAATAAGCGAATCGTTCAAGACGAGCCGCTCCAGTCTATAATATCAACGATAAAGTATGGCTAAACCTACGGAATGTACGCACGATACGGCCTTCAAAGAAACTAGACTGGCTTCACGCCAAATACACAGTTCTAGAAGTGCCATCCTCTTATACAGTGAAGCTGGATGTGCCAAGCGGCATACATCCTGTCTTCCATGTTGAGTTAATAAGACCCGCGGCAACGGACCCGTTACCGTCACAAATCGTGGACGATTCGCAACCGCCTCCGCTGTTAGTCGAAGGAGATCTGGAATACGAAATTGAAGAGATCCTACAAGCAAGGACACGAAAAATTGGACGTGGATCGCGGAGGGAAGCATTAGTGAAATGGCGAGGATACGCAGAACTGACATGGGAACCTATCGACGCAATGGAAAACTGCACAGCTCTCGACACCTTTGAACTACGATACGGACCAATTACGACTTCGAATGGACCCCGGAAAACAGGAGAATAGGAGGGGGGTATTGTAACAGGTTGAATCCTGGTGAACTATCACGTGGTTGTACCACGTGACCCACCAACCGCATACCTCACGATTCCACCCCGAATTGTTCACGTTCTTCAAGGATTTTGTAAATAGCATGTGCCTAGCTAGTTCTGAATTCAAGATTAGCTTTAGCCCTTCACATGGTGTATCCAATAATGCCGAAAACCCATTTTTCGGCCGAAATCCTGGACCAAATACACCACGATACCCTACACCAACAGAATATGACTGGATTCCTAGGACATTCCCAGAAGACCCAATCGAGCCTGATATAACTGACGACACACCGAATTCACCAGATTCGCTAGACTTAGTACTAAATCAAGGGGTGGGGGTGGCTCCTATAGAGCCAACTAAAGGGGATTCGCCCCTGTTTACTGCTTAAGATAGTGAACCATAATTCCGACAGATTGGTCTAGACTTAGACGAGTCGAACATTATCCCTGGTAAATATATTCGCCATCCAACCAAGAGAGATGATGCCTACTTTACACAGCTTATGCTGCGGCTAGACAAGGATCTAGATGAGCTTAAGACATAATCTAAAGCTTATTACCATGTATTCTACACCAGAATGGTGCAGAAACCAGCGAGCCAGATATACAGAGACGACCTTCCACCACCTCCGAACATATTCAAGGAGGTAAAAGGGCATGCGTTTGAAGATGCGTTTAATACTATAATGTAAAAGGAGATCGATAGTCTTACTGAAAAGCATATATTCTTAGTCGTCCTAAGGCCAAACGATAGATCAAAGCAGATTCTGCCCTTGAAATAGGTATATGCTTACAAGTTTGATGAGAATGGTTTACTCCTGAAGTGTAAAGCTCGTATCTACGTACGCGGAGATATAGAGTAGATATCTACTAAAGAGAAACTTTCAGCTATACTAGCCATCAAAACTATACGCATGCTATTCGCAATAATAGCTACATTCGATCTAGATATACATCAAAGAGATGCTGTCGCAGCTTTCCTGAACAGCTTCCTTGAAGATAAGGAGGTTTACATAGAGCTTCCCTCTGGCTTCAGGAGCACTAATGGCCAAGTTTGGCACCTCTATAAAGCACTATACGGATTACGCGTCTCACCAAAGCTCTAGCAGAAGGAGGCCTCTAGAGTCCTGTTAGGCCTAGGTCTTACATAGTTACTAGAGGATCCATATGTCTTTATAGGCGACGGAGTCATAATATTCTTCTATGTTGATGACTTCCTGATTGCTAGCCATAAGACAAAAGCTCAATACGCAAGGCAGCTTGAATCGGAACTCGAAAAAGCATGGGAACTGACTGATCACGGCGACGCAGAGTGGTTCCTGAACATACGTATTATACGCGATCGTAAACAATACAAGCTCTGGCTATACCAGGACAGCTATATTGATAGTATGGCTGCCCGTTTCGGCCTAAATAACCAACCATCAGTGGCTACACCAATGCCAATTGAAGAACTCTTACCATATGAAGGAACTGCGTCGCCTGATGCGATCAAACTCTACCAGGAAAAGATTGGTTCAATACAGTATGCAGCTACTATAACCAGGCCTGATATAGCCAAACCAGCCACTAAACTGGCCCAATTCCTACAGAACCCAGGTCCGCAGCATTCTGCTGCGGCAGACAGGACAATCACTTATCTATTCCACACCAAGAACAGAGCACTTAGATATGGTTTAGGACACCATTCTGACCATTCAGAACATTCTGATGACACCTCTGACCCTGATTTCAGCCGAAATAAGGATCAGATCAACGACGTAACCCACTAATCTATAGGCACATCGGCATTAACCATCGCTAGTGACGCATCTTATGGTGACCATAAAGACCGTAAGAGCTCTATAGGCATGATATGCATGCTCTTCGGCGGCCCTATAGATTGGAAGGCGTCTAAACAAAAGACGGTGACGACGTCCACTACCAAAGCAGAATTGCTTGGTTTATCGGACGCAGCCAAAACACTGGTATGGTGGAAGAGAGTACTAGTCCATGTTGGACTAGAAATGGAATACGATAATATAACTCTCGACTGCGACAACCAGAGAACAGTTGATCTGCTCACTAAAGAGGGAGCATTTGAGACCAAGCTACATCACATAGACATACACCGCAGCTGGCTACGCCAGGAGGTGCAGGAAGGACGTATTAAGATCAGATAGGTCCCAACAAAGCTTATGGTGGCAGATGGCTTCACGAAAATCTTGCCAAAACAGAGATTTGACGCCTGGATTCGTCTTCTCAATTTGGAAGATATAAGTGAACTGCTCTAATCTAGGGTCTTACCCCTAGATTCAGAGGATTTAGAGCATCAACTGCCTAAATCAGAATATAGACTGCGTTTTTAGAGGGAATTAAGGCGATTCAACAGCCCAAATCGGCCCTATGTTTAAGGCCAGTTTACACCTTAGAGGGGTGAAAACTGAAGGGGTGTGTCAAAGGCCCGATTCCATTTACAGTTAGTCTATTTTAGTCAGCATTGGAATCCCACAATGGGATTCCTCCATTCTACAATATATACACATACACACTTTGGTACGCATACTGCGTTCTCATTTGCCCACTAGAATCCACTATTCCTTGGTAGTCGACCTCCATTTGACACATGGCAGCTACTATATCTTCTTTCATCTAAGCATTTTAGAATGACACTTCACTTTTACCCAATATGCATACACCTATTATATACATACAGAAACGATATCAATAGCTACCTGCTTCGGTAATAACCTAGTCAACCGACAGTACTATTTTAACTCGTATCATCCACATGTTAGGAACCTGAAGTCAGTTCGAGATACAGTTGTCGATGTTTTAAGCATAATTTATAACAATTCTTCTTCTGAAGGTACTTGGCTGCATTGTAATTTATCGAAGGCAGTTGATAACGGAAAAGATAACAGTCTTATCCGGCCGATTTCAAAATACTAGAGTCTGGATAAATTAAGATGAAGTAAGGTAGCGGGTATGGTTTCTGGCTGTTGAAATGGTTAGTTATATCCGAGCAGACAGAGTAGAATGTATACGAATAGTGAAGTTGTTTGTCGTTTTAAAAGCTAGCTACTTAGTCTATATAGTCTCAATAGTCATATGACTAGATTATTGATATTATAACACTTTCCTTTCATATATTGATAGCTTACGCTAGTTGATCACCAGCAAGTCACCGTTCTTTTTCATCTATGTAATTATTTGATTTTATATCCATATATTTGATCTCTTAACCATCACAAGAAATCTTTAATGACAAAGAATTGTTATCCTAGTAAGTCTTCTCTACGGATCCCTAAAATAAAACCGATGAACTAGTTGAGTCTCGGGAATAAAGATCACGAAGAACATCACTTGTCCTTATAAGCAGATGACGAAGAACACTCTCACTCCGGAATCGATGAAGATGAAGACAATTAACATGTAAAATAATCCCCTAACCAGGACTGTCTCTTTTTGGGATTCATTATTAAATGCAGCGCTTTCAATAACCACTGGATCGTGTAAAATGCGAAGGACGAAATAGCTCACGCGATCTAATGTATCTTTCCTTAAATACAGGATTTTATATGTAGTTATAGCGTATATCTGAGCAACTTTTACGAGCTTATTCATCACGAGTTACACCCCCGCACCTCCCCTAGGAATATCAGCGGCGCGAGACAGCCTAGCATCTAACGCGCTATCAAGCATATTCACCACGCCGTTTTATCTACGACTTTTTTAGAAGCCGAGAGGGCTGATTCGACGAGAGGATGTGATGGTGAGATGCTGGAATCGTGTGGCTAGCCTTGACTTTACCTTCTTCCTTCAAAAGGGGGAAATTAGGGAAATTGAAAAAAAATCTACTTCGCGCTAACATTACTTATGGGTAGTCCTCCGTACCAAAGTTACTTTGTATGTTCATTTTTGCGCCTTGGCAGAATGGATAACTATGATTGGCTTAATCAATCTTACTAATACACTTGCTGAGTGCTACGCACAATGGTCGTATTTCCACACTTTCTGCATATTATTTGTGTACAAAACGTTGACCAGTGCGTGGTAATAAAAGCCGTTTCTTTTCATCTTGCCAAGGCGCTAAAATGAACATATGCAGACGAATACCTACTCGGGCAAGTATCCGTTGGGCTTTGACCATTCAAAATCTATTTGTCATCCGGGCCGGCAGTACTGAAACCGATTGGTCTCGGATCACGGAATGGTCGTTCATCCGTACGCACTTCTGCTTCTGGATTAACAACGTATAAGAGAATACTTATCACTTGTTAGTTCTCAGCAACGCACGCAAGTTTCTGAGCGATGGCAGTAACGCATATATTGGTTATCGGAGCCACTGGTGAGCTCTATCTCTGTCACAGTCCAAAATTATTCTAATCCTATACAAGGTCCATCGGGCCTGGAATTCTGCAAAGCCGCACTAGCACAAGGGCAAAAATTGACCCTTTATGTGCGGAGCCCAGCTAAGCTTCCTGCTGAGATAAGCAGGGATGCAAACGTCTCAGTAGTAGAGGGTACTCTGGAAGATACGTCTAGTTTCCAGCGTGCGGCAGCCTCTGGTCCCACCGTCTTTGTCTCGTTCGCAGGACCGGTCTCAAATTCCAAAGGAACTGTGCGTCAATGATAGGGCTTATGCTCACCCCTTTTATTCTTACAAAAAGCCGATTCCATATATTGACGAAATATTGCAGCCCGTGACTGATGCTATGAAACACATCTTCCCTACCCTAGTTGCTAATAACTACAAACGGGCACTGGTGCTCGGAACATGTTCATTTCCCGCACCAGAAGATAAAGGTGCTCTCAAATGGAAATTATCAATCATACTTGTCAAAATCATAGGCGGGTCGGCTTATGATGAGTTCAAAGGTCTTGGTTCGTTTGTGACATCCCAGGATGTCTCGCAGCTTAAGTGGACATTATTCAGAGTGCCTTTCCTGACTAATAGCCCTACTGCACCTGTCACCGCATCATATACAGGAACTGGCAGTGATGGGATGTTCTTATCCAGAGCGAGCTTAGCAGCTTGGGTACTTGACCAGATACCTGAAGGCTCTGATTGGGTTGGCAAAGCGCCTGTGCTATCAAGTTGAGGAAATTTATTGGCCATCCTTCGCCCACACTTTACTATTTACCAAGGCTTAATGTGAAGAGTTACAAGACAGATAATAATATATTTTATAAAATAGTACGAGATATGCGTGGGACCTGCCAAGTCTGCCCCTTTCGAAAACCTTGACAGGACAACGAGATAAATAGAGTCTCTAATGACTAGGTTTTGGCTCAGATGATGCAGAGAGACCAAAGTAAGCATTATTTAAGCTATGCCGATCTATGGTAACGGAGAGATCATGCAGGAGCCGAGCCGAGCCTCATCCACAAGGCTTTAAGCGCCCGCGGAAAGTGGAGTAAATATAAACTCACGAAAGTCACCCCATAGGGAAAAATTGTTAAAAGCACTCATCCGGAGCAGGAAATAACATCACAAGTGCATGTCAATGCCACCATTTGACTGGTCTCTCTCATCTCTACCCTCCTCAAGACTACCATAACTTGGGATATCGAAGCCGTCAGTGACAAATGGCTGATTGGCCTTCGTCACCGAGCAGAAAAGAAAGGGAGAAAGATAGGAGGGGAATAGTATGGGGATCAGGCGATCAAGGTCTCCTGGCAGATCGTCGTCAAGTATGGCTATAGGGTGACAGCCTCCGAAGCAACCACTCAAGATTTCGCACACCGCAGAGCTGACCGTCGAATCATTCATATCTCACGAGTTTGCCATTTTATTACATTAAATAAATAGTCACACCCTAAAGGGTACCTCTTCATGAAACAGGTCTCCGGCCGGACATTGATCTCGAAGTCCACCCAGAGTTGTCCCCCACGTGGCCAATAGTCCTGCATATAAGTCACATTTAAGGAGATAAGAAGCCCCAATTGGTGGCGGCCAACAACAAGGATATATATAGGGTGATTACGGCACGAACACCGAATCCCACTCAATTGAGGAATTGGATAACTACGTTGATAAGAGCCTGGAGATACGAAGAGACACCATCAACCTAATACCCTGTCCTCTGGTCTTATGCCATCTAGATCTTGTTCGAAGGATTCTGAAGGAGAACGATTGTTTTCTTAGTCTTGTAGACTGGAGCTTTTCCAGCCTATATTCCTCCTCTTCAAGATCGCAATAGTCTCATAGGTTGATGTAGCTCCGTATGATGCGTCTGTTGAGCCCTTTCATAAATTCTACCGAGGAGGAAAAGGGACTGACCAAGCTGATTCGCTATGTTCGCTCTGTAGATTTGAGATGGATATTGTAAGAGAATGTTTATTTCTTCACACCCGATCTGGGTTAGCTAATTAAATGATATAGTAGTGAAGTGGCTGAATTTGATTACGAAGCATTCATCGCAGAGCCTCAGGAAGGGAGTGAGCCAAAGAAACCGGTGTACGTCGTAGGTCTTTAAATCTATATATCACTATCAGGTACTAAGATTGGTCATAATGAGGACTCACAGATTATTATTTTACTATAACTTCATAGTGTGTTATAGTGATTATTACTATCATAGTACTATTAAGCCTAATATACGAATAAAACATGGTTTATATCCGTCGTTTTTTAGATTGTAAACTGAGGATATTTCCATATCCACAATATGACGTCAGCTTTGCTTACTGCATGTCTTCGCTACTTGCGCAACCCCAACACCCATACTTGAAGTCATACTCAACATGACATTCAGACAGACGCTACAGGGCCTGATCGACAAGGCAGACAAGGCATGGGAGGAAAGAAGCCATCACGCCCCTCCGCCGGTACCGTCGTATAACAAGCCTCCCCCACCGCCAATTCCAACCTCTAGCAAACCCCCACCAGCTTATCAGGAACAGCACTCGCGACCCCAGATCTACTGGCAGCCCAATTTACATCCCGAAGCGCCGGTTTCCACCAACTTTTACCACGAGCAGGGCCAACATGGATGGGGAAACAATGAGTCGCAGAATTACACCGACAGTCCGCAAAACTCATTCCATACACCCCAGGGCGATGCGGTGATCGTGCGCGCTCTAATTAACCACGGGCATCCAGATCCCACCCAGAAGTTCACCAGCGCCAGGCTGTCGAGTCACCAGACCCTCGGCAGACCACGGGGCTGTCTGTCAGCCAGAATTACAGCGCCGGTAGCCCGAGGCATCTGGCCCGCTTTTTGGCTGCTGCCTAAAGACCCCTTCAAGTGGCCTGACGATGGTGAAGTCGACATTATGGAGGCGTGGAACGGCGACGCCGTTAATCACACTTGTCTGCATTGGGGCCACTTCAACGGCCAGGACTGGAACAAGCATCGCGTCCTCGAAACCCCCATCCCCATGATCAGCTCGCCGGCGGGGGTGAGGTATGATTTTATCTGGGACGAAGACGAAACAACGGGCAAGGGGCGTTTGGTCTGGTTGATTGACGGCAAGCCCATCATGAGGGCTGAAAAGCCGCCTGGAACGAGGAAGATGACTGAGTTCAGAATACTCATCAACATTGCTGTTGGAGGAAATGTCTGTCAGGGAAATATGCCCAGTGACGGATACTACGACACAGTGGTTCGGGAGTTGGCCATGTGGGACGCACCACCTGGGGGCTGGGAAGAGTTCGACAGGGCTTGGAGGCATTCCAAAGATGGCAAGACCATGTAACCAAAGGAAGGAAATTTGAATTACAAATCTAATCAACCATGCCGGCCAATGAATTAAACGAACTCCGCGGCAACGAAGTTCATTAATGACATTGGTAGCTCTTGCATCACTTTTAAAGTAATACCATCAATACCGCTAGTCTTACCATCCCATCAATAAGAGGCACAATCCTCTCACCATAGCTCTCAGTAGAGATACTTCCCCATTCTTTCTCCCAAAAAAGACAAGGTCCCTTGTTCAAGCCATAGAACAATCCCAAACATCCATCCTGGTGCCCGTTGAAGTCATGTTCGTAGACAAGAGTCATCGAATTGCTCTCCGGGCTTCCTTGTTACCCATATTCTCCTACAGTAGAAAGGGTGCAGTTTACAGAGTATCTAATAATATTCAAAAAAGCAAATAAAAACATACAACAGTCAGGATTCGCATGTGGTCACCCACCATACTACTAACTGACCGGCATGTGGCTTAAACGCGGAAAATAGTCGGGTGGGTGTCGCCAGGGCGAGCAATGGGTGAGCGCTGCTTTAGCGTCGCGCGACCGGGGGGTGAGCAAGGTGAGTACACAATAAACAGGGTGAACATCGGATAAGCCAGGGTGAGCATCGGGTGAGCCAGGGTGAGATTGGGGTGAGACTAAGCTAATGCATGACTACCGTACTGATCCTTGAATATTTAAAGACTATTGGATAGGGCTATTTCTCCTGAAACAGTGCTGCCTTCGCATCTGCACATAGCCACATAGTAAAGCTAGCTAATGCATGATTACTGCACATTTTGTTGGATTCTGAAATACCATTGGGTAGTGTTGGAAAAAAGGAAAGTTTTCCCCATTTTCGACTGCAACAACGTCTCCAGTTCCCAGGGACACGGGGTTTTAGTCTAATCGGTCTAGTTACTCTTCAATATGCGAAAAAGATTATCATAGATGCTAAATATTAGATGATATATGGCCTTCTTGATTAAAGAGAGTCCAGCTGTGTATTTAAAGAAAGGATTAGTGATTTTAATCAAATAGTTGATCTGTTCCTATTCGTCTGATCTTATTACCAGGATGGGGAGTGTAGAGAACTCACTAGGGTCCTCACGGGTACTCATTGTAGGAGCGTTTGATTTGTCGATGAATTCAGGAACAGAGACACCGAAAAGCTTTGAAAAATTGCGACTAGAAAAAAGGTGATGTGTGAGCTTAAGATAGTATATAGGCAGCAGGGAAGAAGGTTAAATTATATTTTCCCATTGGATTTGACCTTGAAATAGTATTTGTATTAAACATACTGGCTGGGATTAATAAATTTGGATATGAAGATGGAGATGGAGAAGTTTCATTCCGATTCCAACCCGTTTCAAGCTGCCTCTCCCTCTCTCTCTCTCTCTCTCTCTCTCTCTCTCTCTCTCTCTCTCTCTCTCTCTCTCTCTCTCTCTCTCTCTCTCTCTCTCTCTCTTTGGTTGTCTTTACCGACGCGGTATTGCGAACAACAAAGATATTTCTTCTCAGATGGCATTTGTGATGGCATTAGACGACAGCGCTGTAAAGCAAAAATAATCCATTGGTCTTTAGTAAAGTGTGATCGAGTCTCACGCAGTGTCCTTACAGCAGAAATTTACGCTTTTATCCATGGTCTCTCGACATCAGCTTTGCGGTTCGATCAACTCTGACCGATATACTTGGCGGAAACCAGCTTCTCTTTATCTTGTGCCCAGGGCCTAAGAGTATCTTTGACTATGTTGTAATACTCGGCACTCCAGAAGAAAATAGATTTATGATAGACCTGATTTGCCTCCAAGCATATGAAAGGAGGCAAAAGGATATTCAGTGGATAGAGAATAAACCCAATCCGGCCGATGGATTGACTAAAGGAGCAAAGAGATGTGATGCTTTGCAGCGTCTTGTTATGACCAATTATGTCGATTTGGAGACGCTCGGCTGAGTAGAGAGAAGGAATAGAGGAAGGCCACTAGAAATTAAAATTGGCAGCAAAGTGAATTTTGAAGCTTTCAGGAAAAAGGGGTTAATAGATCTGTAAGATTGAGCAGTTTCCAATCCCGGCGTTTCTCCGTTTCGATATCGTACAAGCTTCCTAAGCCAAGGCAGATTTGAAGCCCCATTGTACAGGAAAATTTATCCTGGAAGGGTATAGGAAATGGACCTTAGTGCGCGACACTTCAACTCAGGACAAGCTGATCAACTCCGGTTCAATAAGAAAATACCTCAAAATTTGAATTGGAAGGGAGATGAGGAGGGTAAATTAAAAGAAAGTTGGAGGGAAAACGAGGGGCTTTTATAGAACCACAGACAGGGAGCTATAGAGAATAATGACGTTAATCGGAAGGTGATAATACTAAACTAATTGCGTAATTCACTGTACCTAACAGTTATCCGATACTCAAATGCTGACTTAAAATCGCTTCTTCCCAAATTCTGCAAATCCTCCCGTTCTCACCTTCATTTGATTCACATGCAGCAAGGATTCCTCGTCTCTGAGTTTTTTGCGTCTGAATAGGGCACCGAGTCGTTGTTTTATTGCGTCTTTCGTCTAGCAGATTAGGGGGTTAGTTCCAATATCGTTGCTTCTGCTGGTAAAAAAACGACAATGGAAATCAAGTTACTTACTCCTTTTTACCCTTGAACAAGATCCATATAGACAAAGTCAGAATAGCAGTGATTACACCAAATGGGATGTATAGCCACCAAGGTGGGTTCGACTCAAGCAGGTCGACGTTTACTCCAAAGAGACTCTAGAAGCCAACATAAGTCAAGGTTATCCCACGAGTATACAAGGTAATCATGAGGGATTTTTACCGCAATAAACATGAGTGGTAAGAAAAAGAACTTTGCTAGCAGTTAGCAGCTGATAGAATTAGATTAGGCTAAACCTTACAGTGATCCAACTGAGACGTTTCATACTCCTGTTCATGGATGTAGATTTTTGTGCCTCTGTGATGGAGGCCAGATTGAATTCCTATTAAAATATCAGTGAAATTGAACGTCTAATGAGGTGTGAAGATTACCAGTTGAATCAGCTCTTGAGAGGCTAGATTTAAAGATAAAATCTTTTCTTTGACCTTCCTGTCTGTAGTCTCGATTTTGCGTATAAATTCTCGGCTCGTCCTTTTATGTAAAGTAGTGCTGGCTCCCTGGAGAGTTTGTATGTTTCTTTGATCGCATAATGATCTAAGGGTTTCTATTTGCTCCATTTGCACCCTTTTGAAATCGTTCCATATTTCTGCATCGCTCAGATGGATCTTGATTAGGTCTTTGCTTCTTCCGTTAGAACGAAACGTCTCCCTCCGCTAGTAGATGATCAACAAGGCTATCCAAATAGGCGGTTAATTCCCATACCATATTGAAAAGATGATCTTCTGCAGCTTCAAAAATATTATTCCATTCATCCTCTAGCTGCCGGATGCAAGGATAGAAAAGCTCAATCGGTGATTTTGAGACTTCGCAATACTCTAGTGTCGTAAATAGAATTTTGGATTCAAGCATTGGATTTCCGGATATCGATCCCGGGTGGTGCTGATTGGACTTAGCTAAAAGCCAAATTATGGCATGATTCTTTCGCTCTATCATCAGAGGTGACATATGATTAGATGAAGGGAGTGTTTGATATGAGGGAAGTGATACACGGCACTCGAGAAAGCCTTTCATGTCATTAGTATCGGGGTCTTAAGACAGGTGAAGGTGATGTTTACTAACATTCAGTTCGAGAAGGCTGATGTAGAGCAACAAAATCTGGGATTCCATCTAGCTGTACTTTCCAATGCCATGCATCAAGTTTATCATTTTCCAATCTCAGATCTTTCTGTTTTCGTTTCCTCATGACCTTACGCCACCATCTCCAGGAGACCCCCTTAGAAGAGGATTGACCGAAAAGTCTGTCGTTTTCAAGAAGCCTGTAACAATGAGCTGATTTTCTGATTATAAGTGTCAGGAAAACTCACACGACTGCCCCCTGTGAAAAAGTAGTAGCGACACACTTATCACCCTGTGCTGATATGCTTGTTGTGGGAAAATTCAAGGAATATGACATCGCATTAAAATATTGCGTTAATTCCTGACTATCCTTCAATTGTACAGGAGGTATCTCTAGTCCGCCTGGAGCTAGAACTATATTTCTTTTAGCCCCTGGAGGGGTGCAAGCTCTCCAGTCTGTTGCCTTTATAAAGTTTTTGGTGACATGAGGGAAGAGGTGGCTCATCATGCTGAAATCTTTCAACTGAGAGGCGCGCTGAAATGGAGTGGTCTTGTTGAAATCTTCAATATCAACATTGGCCCCATGATTGATAAGCCATTCTGCAGCCTCCAAAGTACGATTTTCAACAGCACGGTGTAAAGGAGTACATCCATCAATGTCTTCTTTGTTGATAGCAACGCGCATAAGGGCCCATGCGTCCATATTATCGTTCTTGGCAGCTAGGTTCAACGAGTTTTCTAGGATTTGAAAGGCTTCTGGATAGTAAGAAGCAGCGATATGTAGTGGTGTCTGGTTGAAAGCATCAGCTTCAGCTATGTAAATATGTGCGCCAGCTTCAAGAAGAAAATTCAGGGTTTCTCTGTCTTTACAAGCGACAGCAGAATGTAGCAATGACGCGCCCCGAGAGTCAACTGTAAGAATGTCGATATTCGCACCCTGGCTGAGGAGCAGCTTGACAACGTCCAGATGTCCACCGCATGCTGCAGCTTGGAGACAATTTCCATATTCACCACCTTGGATGTTTAAATCGGCCCCCTTGTCAAGGAGCAGCTTAACAACATCTAGATTTCCCTCGTATGCTGCGGCTTGAAGATCATTTGCAAGTTCGCCACCTTGGGCGTCCACATCGGCCTTTTTGTCAAGGGGCAGCATGGCATCATCCACTTTATCATCGGATGCTGAATCTCGGAGAGCACTTTCATATTCATAGTTTGATTTGATAGTAAAATTTCCCACCATTTTGCTTTGAAAGTGAGCAGCCTTAGAAAGAAAAGAACGAACTGAACCAAGACTCGAAGCTTACCCCTGGCATTCGCGCTGTAATTTGCTTAGTCGTATTTTGTAAGGGTTGACTCGGTAGTTTGCCGAAGTCTAGTATCGATAGAGGAGTAGTTGCAATGTACGAAGAGTAGGGGAATCGGTCCAGTGAGGTACAGGAGTAGTTTTTACTAATCCTTGAGGAATCCTTAAGAAATGGGGAGTTCCTCAGTTTATCTTATATCTGGATCAGGGCAGGTTATTCCCTACTCGCTAATGCACCCTGCATGATCCCCTGATAGATCTTCCCTTATCAGGTATGGGACATGTTGAGATTGCAATGGGCTTACCTCGTCAGGTACTCGTGGCCGAATCAACACGGCGTCGTGGGGAAACCTCTAGTTGTACGATGTTTGTTGGAACCAATAGAATTTGGTTTACCTGCAGTGAATGAACTCTGGAAGTGAATAGAAGTAGTGGAATCGGGGCATATCCGATTCCATCGCGGGAACTTAGAATGAACACATATCTTACGTATGCCTTATTTAACATGATTAGCGCGAAAGTGGTATTGATCGTCTTTTAGTGAAACATTTCAATAAACCAGCTGGCGACTGCATATGCTGTAGGGATTCTAGGCAAATAACATCCCAAGGCATATGCCAGAATTGTGAGCGTTTTATATTATTGGACATTAGTGCGGAGTAGTGGGTTTCTGTTGATACAATGAACTGAAAGTGGTTTCAACCACGAGTGGAGCCCAGATTTACTGCAGTAAATTTGTGGCACCTCATCGGTTTGTCGGTTAATAAATGGGGCCAGAGCTACTCTAGGCAGTTTTGGAGTAGACTTGAATAACACACCTCTTACAACTCGCAACAATACATTTATATAATAGATGCATATGCACCAGTAAGACGCGTCAATATTCCGACACTTTCTTAGCTACCTTACTGATCTGCCCGTAAGATGTTATTGGCGTGGAAAGTGTCGGAACATTGACGCGTCTTACTGGTGCATATGCATCTATTATAAATGTATTGTTGCGAGTTGTAACTAAGAGGTGTGTTAACTAGTTATTAGTAATTGATTAGTTAATCCAAATATGCTCCACCACTCTTTTCTCCACTACTACTCAACCAGCTTTACTCCACTCCTATTAACTATTCAAAATACTCTCTCACATTCATAAGAATGTCTACCGCCCAGTCTAAGGACACCAGCCAGCCCGAGGACACTACTGAGTCTAAAGTCACCACCAAGCTTGCTAAGCCGGATGAGAACTCGGTGGAATCCCGAATGGCTTGGGTAGATAGTTTGACAGATGAGGAGTGTAATGAACTATGCCCAGAGATTAAATGCATGTTTCTTCTATGGCAGTTTCTTACAATAACGAAGTTTGACTGACGTTTTCTCTATACATAGATATGCCCCAAGCTGGTAAGGATTGCTCCTCCGAACGGGCTTACCAAGTCCTCCACCAGATGATATTTGGCCCCGGCTCTGAAGATGACGATGAAGACAAAGATGAAGAATAGATTAGGGACACAATCTTTCAACTATTGATTGCTACTAATACATCAATACTAGCATAACCGGAAAAGAAATCAAGCGTAGACATGTTCATTGGGTATGGGTCAGAAATTTTACCCAAAACCCATATGGGTTGGGTATGGGTTTGAAGTAAAACCCACACCCAGCCCATAAACCCATCTTTTTGCCAAGACTTTTATTTCACGTGATATTTGTCACCTAGTTAGTACTAGATTGAGGCAAAAATTAGGCACTAAGGCACTAATTACCCTAATTTAGTTTAGGTTGAGGCGAAAATCAGGCATTAAGGCATCAAAAATACCCATATGGGACCCATACCCAACCCATACCCACGTGGGTTGGGTTGGGTATGGGTATGGGTTTACCTTACCCCTGATGGGTTGGGTATGGGTATGAATTTTGACCCATACCCAACCCATGCACATGTCTAATCAAGCGGGCGTTAAAAACCATATACAGGGTCAGTTCGAGGATATTTAAAATGGCAAAATCGATAGAAAAGCCATCTATTGAGCGACAACGATGGTTATGCAGGACCTATAGGTAAAACGAAAGCGACTATAAGGCAAAGTAGGCCCAGCCTAGAGTTTTCGATATAGCGAAAACATCTCGCCGACGAGAGTAGTTCTTAGACTGTGTCACCTATTTTATGACTTAGTGCGAAAATTTTATATCACTCATCAACTCATCATTCATCATTAATTAATCAAGGGACCGCCGAGAAGCCGACGAGTCGCACCAGGAATATAGGGGTTCGGTGACCCGGATCAATAGCAAAAATGCCTCAAGCTGTGGAGTGAAAGGGAGATTGACAGGGGAAAACTCCAACAAAGTTGGAGTGGAAATGAGGGCATTTATAGAACCACGCATGGGGAGCTATAGAGACTCATGACTCTAAATCGCAAGTGATAAGATTAAGCCATACGCAGTAATTCAATGTACCCTTCCGATATGGTGTAGTGGCTAACATCGCCGTCTCTCACACGGCAGCCGGGGGTTCGATTCCCCCTATCGGAGAAGATCCACTTCAAATTTTTTACTTTATTTTTTGGCTTGGACAATAAATTGTCCTTCAGCGGCTAAGCGCCCACCTACCACAGTCATGGAGCGGACGCTCTACGGTTCTTATCAAACACCAGAAGTTGCTTCAGGTTGTTCTGAAGTCCTTAAATGTTCCATTACATCATATTCACACGAAAGAACCTCTCGAGCCGGTTTGGATGTCCGTCTGTAAAGTCGATTTGAACGAAGAAGCCTTCATAGGCGAGCCGCTTGGTAAGTTCACCCTTCTCTCCCGGTTAGAGACAGAACCCATTCTCACTGTCTGACTCACATGCCCAGTATGGTGGCTCTTCAAAATCAGTCATTCTTCGCGATCTTTTGCCTGCTTATAACCAAGACGTTCAATCTGGCTCAGTTTGTGCAATGTTTAGTAACTAAGTATACTACTGTGGCAACGACCGCTCTGACTTTGCATTTGACTTTTGGAAAGACTGTTTGCAAGGCTGAGTGATGACAGCGCTTCCTTTTTTGGATCTACAAGCAGGTCGGTCATGTTTCCATGTATAGCAAGGAGATCGCTTTCGGAGACCTCTCCAGCGCCTGGAGAGTATTATAATTCCAACAACAATGATCACCGCAGCTTTCTCCTTCATCTTGGCTAACCTGACCAAGAAGGTCTATGTTGTGTTTCGAGTGATGATGACTAAATGTGCAATTCCATTGCCTCAGGTGCAAACAATTCTCGGGCCCTGTATCAATTTTAACCCTCCTCGAGCTTGTTTCGCGCAGGTCTGCACGTTCAACGATCTGTGCAGGCTATTTGCGCGACCGATACGCACCAGTTTTGTCCCCTTACTTTCTCCGATATACGTGCTAAAAGTACAGATTGGCCCTCGGATACTCAATTTGAATGCATCATGAACCACCTAGCTGTGGATGATAATGTTCCACTATCTTTAAACAACAGTGGCAATATATCGAATTCTTTTACAATGAGTCGGGGCGCGTTAAAGGGTCGGCTTGAGATCCAATTCACTCTAGGAAATGGAAAATTGCGGATTCAGGTTCTCAAATCTAGCAGAATCATGGACTCGGAACAAACTGGGTTGCCGGCAAAACGACTGGTGGATACGGTAATTGCGTTCCCCCGGTCTCCAGAAGCACCGCTATCTTCTATATCCTTTCTTCACACTTAACTCTTCGCGGTCTATTTGTCAACTTCTTTCGATCGAACCGGCATCAGACGCGGTTCAAGTCTCTGATCTTCAAGGCGATATAGCCTGAATAACCTCTCTGCGAGGGGTAAATTAAAAGGAATAACACACTCTCTCTGTATCTTTCTTCATTTGAGCATATTCAGCCCGTTCTAGCTTGTTTTGACTGGAGATATCGGTCATATGACGTCTCTTAAACCGATATGTATCATCTTGAGCTGCATAGTGCTGTAATGCGGTCACAAAAGGGTTGGTTAATAATGTTTCTGCTTGCTATTCCCATGGTTTTTTCACTGATCGGACCGTTCCGGTTCGTCAGCTTCTCAAGGTCAGCTGCAAATACTTCAGGATTTCTCCAAGCTTAGAGAAATTTCTGGACCTTCTAATGGCAGAAGACCCGAGTAATTCGCGCTCACGAAGCCATCCACGGGCTGTCAAAGGAGGGAGGTGGAAATCGAGTGTTCTAGTGATTTGATTGAGAGAGGTGTCTTTTTGGTGGGCATCAAATGTATCATCAAAATGAGCTCGTTTAATATTATATATTCACGTCTTTTAGGTGAATTCGGAGGCATGGACGGGGCTGCCAAAAGAAGTTTTAGGAAGTTTTGATGATGGTAGTCTGTGCGCGGTCAGTACTTTCTCCTTCCCTGTTGCATGTATTGATGTGTCAGAAAGATGATTCGTCCTCTCAAGCCTCCGTTTATCCCTGGCTCCGGGTATTCCCAAGACCTGCATATCTCTGCACAGACCCATACGATCTCCTTCGGTATATTCCAGATATGGAATGCGAACAAGTCGAACCTGAGGGGCTGGTAAATTAACATCTTCAGGACTGGCTCATTACGGGATACAACGTACTGAAATATTCATGATTTCTCTTTTTCAGGTTCTGGATATATGCAACTGAACGCATAAATCATATCGAGGAGGCTATGGCCAATGAGATCTAGCTAGATACGATCAATGCAGCCTACTTGGGCAGCGGTCTGAATATAAATAGATCCCATGCACTTTACTCAATTGACGTGGTCAAAGGATAGGTCCGGAAGCCTCAAAATCATTACAATCGGCTCCTGCCATCTGTGATCGCATTACGTTTGAACAATCAGACCAAAAGTAACTCAAAAATTAACTCGACTGTTAAAATGTCACCGCTCATCCGGGGTGGACTTGGACATTTTGTCTTAGGTTAGCTGAGGACTTTTTCGCTGTTGTCGATGGCCCCTCTAACAGTACTTCCTTAACAGCAGGCCTCGTTTCGTGCCTCTTTGTGGTGGTATATGCATCATCCAGTTCCAATGCTGCGAGCATCTTCAATCTTCCCCTGCAGCAAAATTCGGCCAACTATACATTCGCCCTTAATATTCCAGATGACTCCACTGATATTTACCTTCATCTGTCTGGCCCAGCAGATTATTCATGGATAGCGGTCGGGACAGGAGCCGGAATGCAGAGTTCGCACATGATCATCATTTATTCCAATGCTGATGGCACGAGTTAGTGAGCCCAACTCCCAACGGCTAGGAAGAGCGTTCTCTAATCCCAGTACAGATGTGACAGTGAGCCCACGAATCGCTTTTGGCGAAAAAGAACCCGTTTTTTCATCTTCAACTTCTCTCGATCTCTTAGCTGGAACAGGGATCGTGAATAATACGATGACACTCAATGCGCGATGCAACGACTGTACGCAGTGGGCAGACAGACCATTCGAGGCAGGCATACCATTTAAGGGAGGCGGACCATTTAAGGCAAGCAGGTCATTCGATTCAACGTCCACATCGCAACCGTGGATTTTTGGGCTCGGTCCAGTTGGGAGCACATCTGCTAGAATGCGAAGTAATTCCAAAACAGCCAACATAGAAAGACATTCGAAATATGGTTTGTGAACATTCCAAATGACACTCAATTGAGGTTCTGAGGTACTGATTCGGGAGTATCTAGGAGTTTTTATTATGAATATGACTCACGCGACAGGCGGGACCGGCGGGTTGCCGACATCCTACGCCAACGCGGCTGGTTCATCATCGACTGGAGAAATCACAAACGACAAAAACCTACCTAGTATCATCCATGCTGTGTTCGTCTGCGTTGCAATCATTCTCTTGATGCCCACAGGCGTGGTCTATCTTCGTCTCTCCCCAAGGAGTGTGAGATGGCACTGGGTCAACCAGACATTATCCTCTATCCTAGCCATAATAGGTATAATCGTCGGGTTTTACCTCAGCCACCTTTTCACAAAGTCGCAGTCGCATCATTCTGCGCACCAGATTATTGGCACTTTGATCCTACTGGCGATTCTAGCCCAGCTGGTCATGGGTGTCTGGCACCATCTCTCATATAAGCGGATTCAGTTGCCCACTATATTTGGGAAAATTCATCGGTATCTCGGATACGTCATTATGTTTGCTGCGATCGTAAACGGCGGTATTGGGCTCTACTGGTCAAATGCGTCCCATGCTGTCATGATCGGATACTCAATTATTGTGGCCATCATAGGCTTAGGACTCATTGCTGTCTTTGGGTTGGTTGCTTGGCAATCTAAGAAAGAGAGTAAGGGGTATACCCGTGACCATTACGAACTGAGAGGAGTCCAAATTACATTGAGTTCCAATGAACACATGGGGTCATCAAAAAGCCTCGACAAATCGTTTTGAGGTAGGCTATGACCTACGTCTATGATGAGTTTATAGGACAAGATGCGGGTTTCTAGCGTGTGGCTGAGATACTGATCCAACTAAGTCTTTAATTTGAAGCCCTATGGCTTCGTACAGGGTATATGGATATCAGTTCTTGATACGGAATAAAAAGACAACTAGTGACAACCAATGACGTTATAACTGGTGATGAATCACTTGATGTTAGATGTGATGGAATCTTGAAAAGAGGAATCAAGGCGTTAGAGTAGTGACACTATGTTGACCTCGGGAGTTTACTGTTCAGTTAAGCAACTTACCGACAATGCCTGAGGCCGTAATTCTAGATCTATGGAGAGACGAACGTCGCTTAGGTCAATAAAGTAAGTGGGTTAAACTTTTCATCGGTCAAAAGTAGAACAGATTATATACTACGGCTCATGGCCATTTATGCTGTAATCACCACTCTTTAAAACCCGGAATTAATCTTTTGATCCGGTCAGCGATATTGACGAGGGATTATGTACAGCCCCAGGATATGGGGTCCATTTTACAGTCTTGACGCTTGATCTTGGAGGAATAGAGGCTATGGATCATGCTGAGGATAATGACGACGATGTTACCCTGGCACCCAGCAGCTTGTATTTAGTAGAAAGTGTAAGTGCTCAAAGCTTCTCGATGTTAAAGTTGTCGGCAGAACCGAGTTATACCATTTATAGAAGCTGTGATAGTTACAGAATGGGCACCTTTACACACCTCTTCACTTTTTGACTCCCTAATTTCATTGGGCTTTCTTTTGTGCTTATGTTTGGTTTTTCTTTGCTGAATTGACCTGCACGTCCCGAATGTGCTACCTAGAGCGTTCCACTTTTCACTAGTTACATGACGTTATCGATGAAGCTCCTGTTCGAGTGAATCTTAATCTGCTCTTCGCCTTTGCCAACAATACAGCCACAATCTGCCTAGCTCCTGGCCGCCTAGATTATGGACAGGAGGATAATAAAAAGTTTGGGTTAAATACCAAAGAAGCTGGCGCACACTTAGTAGCCGACCTGACTACCAGAGTGCAAGTATGGATATATCACCTTGAAATCCCCCCTGATCTGCCGAACATCTCCGGAATGATCCGCTCCCAGGTAAGTCGGATTGAGCATATTATACAATGGCTTATGCAGATTCAAAAATGGCCCGAGATACTCAGACCTATCTTATCCACTTGACATCATCCCATACTGTTACAAATTCCATGAGCCTCGTGGAATAGACTATATTTCACTATATACTATAGGTAATATTGCGGTGAAAAAGCCTCACATGGTCTATGTAATTTTAACAGGTATTTGCAGGGATCTACACAATGCCAGAATTTGAAATTTTCTGTATCTTTTCAGCCAGCATATTCAGCTCTGATTCAAGTGTTTTTGCCTGTTGGCTCAAGTAGGCACCATCTGCCTTGTCCTGGCTATGGCCAACCATGCTCTCAAACTCAAGGATAGCAGCCTTGATATCAGCCAGATGTGTCTGTACCAACATTCTTGCAACGGTAGTTCCAAAATCTCCAGAAATTTGATATTTGCCTAAGCGAACCTCTGCTGAAATGAATCGTTTTCCGTAAGCACAGATAGAAAAATTGCTCCATTTCAACAGGCGCGCCAAGACCATATTGACTAGGAAAAGTGCTTGTGGGTCTCGCATGCAATGATGGCACTTGAAGATAGAACGCATAGAAGGGATGATGCCTTGAGATTGTATCAGAAGGATATCGATGGCTGTCGCCTGCTCTGAAGATTGAGGAATAGCTTGAAGTGTGCAAAGGTGTTTGCTGAGTGTTGCAAAGCAGCCATCGGATGTCGAGCGATGACATGAGCTTTTTGATGAAGAAGGTCCAGAGTGGTCGTAAATAATTGGATAGCTGGGCTTCGCATCCATGTCACATCTCGACAATTTGGATGAACATGGGAAAAGGGAAGGACATTCGATCTCGGTCACTGGTGCATTGTGCCAGCCACAGCCAATGCCATTAAGAAATCCCCCAGAGCATTCACTTGGTATCACTTTCTCAATTGGAGCTATGCATTGTCAGTACTGTGGATTTACATAACTCCTTGCACAGAGAGAACATAAAAGAAGGAACATACCGGTCAAATTACCGAATAAAGAATGAGGCCCCTATTGATGAAAACAGCTGTTAGACTTCTACACGAAATAAATTTCATGATTGGATGCTTTACATTCTCGATGGATTCATCAGGGATCATTGGTAGCCAGTCAATACATCCAATATCATTTTCCGGCAAGATAGGCTCCTTGGGTAAGGAGTCTAGATCGAAACTAGATGGGCTTTGGTTTTCAAGTATAAGTTCCGCATTGAGGGGCGATTCTAGTGGGCTGAATGTTAATTCCTCGTTGCAGGGAGGCAATGGGGGGATCGACGTGGTGTCATCTCTCATTGATGGCGGAGTGTGGAGTGCTAGTTGTTGCTTTTCTTTTGCTTCCTTTATTTGGCGTAGACGCTCGATTGTCTTTTTATTCATGCTGCCCCTTGGCTTTCCGATTTTTGCTTTGTAACTATAGCGACACTCAAGATTGCTGTTGAGCGCGAAAATACTCACTGAGTAATGGATCGGATATCTGCAGAAGAAGAGACTTACTCCCTGGCACATCTTGTACATGGTTTATCTCCTGTGCAGCGAACCTTTGCCGCATGGCATGCATCACATGCACTGCGAAGTTTTGAAAAATCTTTCTCAAATTCTTGAGATTTCCGTGTTCTATCAATTGACTTGATTGAGGAATCTGTGCCTTCACAGTCAACGAGAGTAGTGGAGGGAGACATCAAATCCCAAGCTGAGGAATCGTTTCTCTCAAAGAAAGCAGCTTCTAGGGTTCAATTGAAAGATAAAATCGACCTAGTAACACGGCTGTTGGTGACTTATAAGCTTGGAATTTTATTCTACAAACTACTTGAGTAACGGAAAACTTCGAAGATTTCTGAAATACCGCCATTTGCCCCACCAATAGCCCAAGTGGGAGTACGAATATGTAGCCAAGATTTTTTTTGAGTAATTTCCTTATCGGAGAAATAGTGGACCTAGTGCCCATCACATTGTATGAATTTTTAACAGGTGTGATTGGTACTAACCCAGAAGAGATACATGCTTATAATATGCAGTACTACAGAATTGAAATCACTCACAAGGTACCTACCATCGGATCCTATCCGAATCCTGCTGTCTCCAAGGTAGCTGCACCAGGAAGGGTGGGAAACAAAAAACAGCGCCCGTTAAAAAAGAAATTAAACTGGGACTTGACAATTGAGTCTTTTAGGAAATACAGGCTTGGTGAGAAACTGAAGTCTATTCTCCTAGCCCAACTTTACCTATTGCCTTCCAAGGCTATTTGAATTGACGAGATTCTGGTATATCAGCGAAATGGCAGATAACCAAAAGTGGTATTTTGCCTATGGATCGAATATGTTTTCGGATGTCTTCATCGGAAGACGCAAGATCCAACCTCTCAGGTCCGAAGTTGCTGTGGTTAAAACGCACACCCTCTGCTTTAATATTATGGGTGTTCCATACACAGATCCTGCCATGGGAGGCTTATGCTCGGCAGAAAATCAGGATCTTCCAGTATACGGCATTGCATATCTTTTATCCCCGGACGAAATGAAAAAGGTCATCATTAGCGAAGGGTACGTATAGGAATTCTTCACTCACATTTAGCCCCAAATAACATAGTATAGATGCGGAATAGCTTATAAGACCGAGCTTCTCACAGCCACGTTGCAAAGCGATGGCTCTGAAGTGAATGTGAATACATTAATCGGGAGACACATCATTCCACGAGGCTACGAGAGACTTCCTTCAAAAAGATATATGGTAAAGTCGTCCACTAACTTCAACGATGGATCGTCTAGAGACTAATAAGAATACACAGGATTTATTGATTCGAGGTGCCAGCGAACATTCTCTCCCCGTTTTATATCAGAAGAGACTCTTGTCACAGCAGACCTTTACTCTGAGACAAAGTTACCGATTCAAAGTTGGTAAATGGTTATTTGACATACTCTGGCAGAGGGTCGCGCGCTGGATTGAAAAGGGTGTTTGGAAATTTAAAGACGACGATGGAAACCTTCCACCGTGGTTTCTACTGATCTTTGACTTTCTCTTATGGACTATGTGGTATTACCATGACTATGTTCACGGTGTAACTTGGGGCAGAGGTGATGGATTAGATCTAAAATAAATCCAAACTTCACTTGCCTCAGACAAACAGAACCATTCCGTAGATTCTGCCGGGCTACAATAGACCGAAAACTCATCTGCTATTGAAAGCTGAACGCAAATAGAGAGAAGGTCAAAAGGAACTGATGTTCATGGTGGTTTATCGCGACCTTGGACAGAAGTTCTGCCTCAAGGGTTTTCAAGTTTTTCAATAACAATGAGAATGGTTTCTTGAGAATTAAATTTATTTGATGCTATATCACCTCTCTATTCTGCCAATATTAAGCCACCAAAATGGTAAACGCTATCCAAAAACAATTTTGCGACTTTAGCAGTGATAGAAAGGCTGTTGGATATAGTAGATCTTTGGAGCATTCGGTCTGTAACATTCTATGAATTTCTAGGCAAATCCTTTTCACCATGAGGGTAAGCCTCTCTCACAAACGTCCGAAATTTGTCATTCCATAATTGCATCACATCATCTTGCATAAATGGTGCTTGAGCTTTGCTCGTACGAGACTGAAGCTCTACATACTTGAAAACGCGGATCAGATTAAGTCCTATGACTTTTTCCACATCTGACCGGAAAATGCCGCGTTCAAGCATTCTAGCCACTAAATGAGGATAGCAAGCAACATCCTCGACTCCTCTCGCAGCTTCAAACATACCATCGTAGTCAGACCCAAGTCCAACATGCTCGTAGCCGATAAGTTTACCAGCATACTCAATGTGATCAATGACATGGTCCATACTCGCTTTTGTGGCATCGACATGGGTAAGAGATGGGATAAATGTGATCATAATTATTCCATCGTTGGCTTGCAGTTTCTTGAGGACTGCATCAGGAACATTGCGAGGATGTGGGACAACCGATGCTCTATAGTTTCGAGATTTAGATTCGTTTTGGAGTATTCTTACTCAGAGCCTGTTACTCACACTGAAGAATGAGAGAAGATCACAGGGGCTTCAGATATATCCAATACCTGATGCATCACAGCTTCAATTGTATGAGAGAGGTCAATGATCCTAATTCTAGTCAACTCATTGTGTCTACAATGAATGATATGCAAAGACCAAGCTTTTCTTACATTCCAATTCTGTTCATTTCCTTGACCATCAATTCTCCCTCGGCAGATAGTCCGTCGTGTGCTGGGGAGATTGCAGTCTAGGTATGTTAGTTCCTGTGAGTTGTTCAGGAAGTGGCATCACTCACTGCACTATCTGCGTAAAGATTGTTCTTATTGTGTGCCAATGTAACATATCGAACTCCCAGTTTATGGTATAAGCGAAGGACGCTTGAACTGTTTGCAATTTGATGTAAGCCTTCAACTCCGATTAGGCTGGCAAATTTCCCATCTTTGAACAGGCACATGATATCTGAGGCACAATCCACGAGACCCATATGATCCGAATACAGATTTATTAGTTGATGTACTACATCAATTTGCTGCAGCGTATCTCGCAATATCACTAGGTGGGCTGCATTTTCGGTGAAGTATTCTGATTCAGGGCTAAGAATATCATCAGCAGAAACCAACACCAGGGTTACATTGTTAATACCAGTCTACATAGACACTCCAAAAAGCCCCACCAGACTTTCCATTCCTCAGACGCTTGAGATCAACATGCCCAACGAGGGATTTATTGGGCTCGAAGCGATCGTTCAGTCGATTATCATAAAAACCACGGATAAGGTGTGGCCAATCGTTGTGCCCGTCTATATATAGTGTCAACTTCAAACAGGGCCTCACAGGTTCAAAGTATCATACCAATTAGTGGAACTGATTTGAGGATACTGAGAGCCTCTTGCATAGATATACTCATGTTAACCATGTTTTCTCAGCATCGGAGAACCTAATTCCAATAAAATTTCAATTGGCATGCAAATAAAGGTACTTGACATTCGAATCTTTCGGGTGAGTACCTTTGGAGCCTTTATAATTCTGTAAAAGGTAAATCTTTCGAGGGGAGGTCAGGAAACGGTCAGCGTTGGATAAGGACAAGTCTTCTTGACTTTCCAGTGATTCCCTGTCATTTATCACTTTCTCTCTTGACTTTAGTATTTTTGAACCACACGTTCATTTCTCAGTTATCAGTTCTACTTTATCCCCGATTGGTGTAGCCTCATAATCCTTTGATCTCGGAGACTTTCTCGGGGATTATTGACATATAATATGCAACTGGATTGAAGAATTCAGGTAGTTATACCATCCAATTTCCTCTTGCTGAATTTTTGTGTAGTTGAAAAAAAAAAAAAAAAAAACACCAAGATGATACTGGGCCCGTGGACGCCGCCGTATCAGCTGGGTGAGCGGCTGGGCCCCAGGACCAATCTCAACTTGATTCTCATGACAACCGCCCTCGTCAACTTTTTTGGATCTTTTTCAGCTCTCATCTGTCCTTTTCGGTCTCCCAGATATTGAAAAAACGTTGGAATTTACCAGCGAGGATATCAACTGGGTACTGATTGTTTATAACATTACCTTTGCCGCATCCCTCCTTGTTGGGGGCCAATTGGGCCAAAAATTTGGGTTGGAGAAGATTTTCATTTCAGGTGCGGCTATTCTGGCAATATCAAATATTATCAACACAGTAGCACCAAATAAAGGAACTCTTCTTGCCGGCCGTACGATTTCTGGGATTGGAGCGGGATTGACTGTGAGTGATAACAACGATGAAGTGGCACTTTCCACTCTCTGACGATAAATTGATATCAAGGCACCCAACGGACTTGCCATCCTGAATACGGCCTTTCCAGACGGCATGGCTCGAAACAAAGCATTAGCAATTTACACAGCTTGCGCACCTTTAGGGTCAACCATCGGCACCGTGATCGGATCTCTTCTCTCTTGTATATTTCAATCCCCCCTTCCCCTTCTTTGCGAGTTTAATTGACCAAGCAATTTCAGCCTCTAGCGCTGGCTGGAGATCGATTTTTTGGCTGTGTCTTATTTTCACCGCGATGGCGCTTGTCCTAGCCTGCCTATTTTTGCCATCGTTTGACAAGAAGGGCGATGTTCGAATTGACATCGTGGGAAGTCTAGTTTTTGTAACTGGAATCGTTCTGCTTGTTTATGGTCTCAATGACAGTTCGAGAATCGGATGGTCCTCAGCTCCTGTCCTTGTGGGAATAATACTAGGAATATGTCTATTAGGTGTCTTTGTCTTTATCGAGATAAAGATAGTGATCAATCCCTGTATTCCCCATTATGTTTGGAAGAACCTGCCTTTCTTTTTCATGCTTTTCGTTATTTTTGCGTTTGGTGGCAGCTTTAGCTCGTGGTTTTTTATCAGTACGCAACTATGTGTCAATCGACTGGGTTACACTACGATTTTGACTGCGGTTTATATCTTGGTAAGTCTTCCCAGGGTTCAGTCTTTTCAACGTTTCAACTCCACTTAGCATCACCTTGTGGAAGCTTCAAGTGGAATTCAAATCCGATAAATACTCATTTTGAATAGCCAGCTGCATTCTCTGCGATTGTTAGTGGGATGTTGTCCACGCAAATGATCAAGTTCACCGGCGAAAAGGTGACACTAGTCATTGGTCTTGCCATTACAGCAGCTGGTGCTGTAGCTTGGACGTTTGCCAGTCCTGAGCTAGCTGGAAGAACAGACCATCATAGCGGATACTGGTACATTATTGTAGCTAGTATCATCTTTGTCTGTGGCAGCCCGCCGGCCATGGTTCCAGCCCAGAGCATTTTACTCCGCCAAGTGGATGCAAAAGATTCAGCTGTAGCTGGCGCACTGTTCAATACCGCCTATCAAATAGGGGCTAGTGTTCTTCTAGCCGGTGCCAATACCTTTATGAATGGAAATCAGAAGTCCGTCCAAGGAGTCTTATTGATATCGATGACTGGATACAGAAACGCGTTTTAGCTACTGGCTGGAGTGATTGGAGCTGCTGCAATCATCGTTGCTGTTTTTTACTGGCCACAACGTGTCAAACAACCAGAAGGCCTCATTGAGGAAGCCATTGCAGACGAGAAAGAGATGCAAGAGCTGAAGGTGAAGCGCTAGCAAATTCTAGAGCTAGGTTAAATATGATGTGTTGCTCCGAAAATTTCTTATGGTAACCCAACGTGGCTCAAGGGCTTAGCAAGACATCTATCAATTAGATTAAGAATATTTTCTTTCCTCTGAAACCATCATGATCCTCTCATGGAATACAATTGCTCATATTCCTCTCCTTTGGTTACTAGTGGTAGATAATACAATCAACTGCATTCTAATGTTTTCTCTATCCCATGTTACCTAGTGTAATGGAAGAATCCCTTGCATTGGATCTTGGTGTTTGTACTCATAGCGAGGGAAAGTGGAATGTATCAAATTAGAATGAAGCACATAAACCGAATGATATATTGATCTTATGAACGTGCAGTCATTAATATTGTGAATTTTAAATTTCTACCAAGACTCAATTTTCTGTAGCTAGACCCGGCTATTAGCTAAGACAGCTTTACAGGGAGTGAGAAATGGAAGATAAAGCTATGCGAAGACTATCTAGTCACGGTACCAGCAAGATTATCTGAGTTTTTTTTTCAAATTTTTATAGAAGATCCCATCATATTTGAAGAAATTATCAGATCTATTTAGATAGTCTGCTGTATCAGTTGGAAAAACATTTCTGCTTCTGGAACTCTTAGTTTTCTAAGGCTTTTTGTGCCCAAGCGAGATGATAGCAATAGACATTCCCAACAGTGCGAAGCTCCACCTCCAATTGCTTCCGAAGATCATCGAACTCCTTGCACGTAAGCTGTCCTGGTTTATCTTTATCCATGTAATGTCCGTCAGTATGTATTTGTATAAGCAAGGCTATCAGTAATCAACATACCACTAAGCATAATTTTCATTCCATCCAGAAGGTGGAGCAAGACAGTTATAGCCCTCTCGCCCTGCTCTTCATCATCCGATGCAGCTCCAACCTTGATGGTCTGCACACTTTCGTAGATATTTAAAGCGCCAATACTTCGTAACCACGGTACCAGGAACAGTCCTGGGCTCGGCTGATTCCCTATTGCTGCCCATGCGTTGACCATCGTATCGCGAAATTTCATAAAAGCTGCATGTTTGGGCCCTTCTTGAATTGAAAGCATATTTCCTTCATGTAGCTCAATCCAACCTCCAGGTTTCACACATGAGAACAACATTTTGACAGCCTCTTGCGCTGTTTCATTGGAGCCGACTGTGAGAACGAAGCGCTGGTGCACTACATCAAAGCTGTTCTGGAAATTGACTGGCCACGGGTCAAATATTGATTGAAGAGAAAGGTGAACATTTGGAGGTCTCTCATTCTGATTGACAAAGTGCTGTGGGGCGATATCGGTTCCATAAAGTGACGTCGAAGAGGAAACCAATTGAGCCAGATCGATCAACCACATACCCTCGGCAGTGGCTGAATCCAATATACGGAGATTGGGTTGCTCTAGATCTACAGGGCAATAGAGCAGCCTTCCGCCCATTGAAGCTTTCACTAGATCATGTTGAGTTCGTAGACGATCATATTCTCCCTGGTGACGAGGGCCTCGATAGGTGTCTTGAGTGTGGGATTCGGTCATTTGAAGAGTTAGAAGAATTGAAATCCTGCTTAGGTGAAGAAGCGCTTGCTCTCAGAGGTCAATGAGAGGGCGGCAATGAAAGCAAGGTTGTTTGTTTTTCAGGTATCTTGTCTGGGCTTCAAAAATATATTTCGGCGACTATCACTCACTCGACCAACCTTGGGAGTAATATACTCGCCGATATCAATGTGATAAATATATGACGACAAAACCAGTACCTGTGTATGCTTTCAAGTATGCATGCAAACTCATTTTTTTTCTAATTGCAATTTTATCATACGAGATGGCCGAGTCATGTGGAAAAATATCCGCACACCCTCAAATCCCCGAGGATAAGCTGGTTCTGTACGTCAAAAAAGGTAAGATTGTTCAGTGTTGTGACTGTAAAGTGGATCTCTTTTTTATTTGTCATTGTTTCGCGTTTGATATTCAGCATGAATTTTCCACGGTAGTTACTAACCGTTTGCAGCGAGTCCTACATCCACGGCTAACACTGTGAAGCCGCTGATGCTAATTGAGGCACTGGAAATCCCTCATACAATTCATATCGTTGCATCAACTAGCAACGAAACATGGTTTCACTCTGTTAACCCCTACAAAATGGTTCCCGCCATGGAAGGAGTCGATATCTACCAATATGACGGTAAATCGCAGCGGTTGAACGTATTTGACAGCTCCGCGTGTTTGATATACCTGGCCGAGAAGTATGACAATAAAGGACTTTACATTGGAAAGGACATCTGCGAGCGAACCGTCGTTATGAACTGGCTGATGTCCTATACTGCGGGCCTAGGTGCAACTGGAAAGACCTGGCTTTTGATGAAAGCAGTCAAGTCAGTGGACATTGGCGAGTCTCTTTCAGTTTTGCTCAAGTATATCCAGACAGAGTACCAATTCTTGGAGACTCGGCTGAATGAGCCCGATCAAGATTACATAGCCTTGCCTGATAGACCAACGCTTGCAGATTTTGCTATTTTACCTTTGGCGAATGAGGGCGTTGCAAAATCTGCCGACCTTGAATTTACGAACTGGCCAAAACTGAAGGAGTGGAGTGAGAGAATGAGTAACTTGCCTCCAGTTGAGAGGGCCTTGAATCGAATTTCTCGGTTTGGAATATCCGATGAAGAACTCATGAAGTTGAATCGCCAGGATTAGAATCGAATTAGTCTCGAAGCAGTACTTGTAATTTTTTTTAGAATAGAACAAGAAATTAATATATTTCTCATTAGAAGGAAATGTTGGTATTGTTATTGACAATCTAGACGCTAGTTAGACAGCGTGGGTTGTTGGATCAGTCAGCCCGGATGCTTATATCTATTAATTTTTCCCTTCAACATCTACATGAATTGGAGAGGCCCATGGATTTGATCATATATGTCTTTCTGGCTGTAGAGAAGTCTCTCCTACGCTTACCGAGAAAGAGTTTTATTCGTTGTGGTTGAAGAAACTCAACTTGTTTAAAAATTTATTATTTAAGAAGAAGTGTGAACGGGTTACGTCAACCCAGTCCAACTCAGTGTACTCATGTAGCCAGCGACCTGAGCCGAGTAATTCTAACCTATAGTTCTAAGGTTATTGGTTCCAAGGTTATTGAATAAATCCGCGTGAATCGTATGGCTGGTATATATTTTCATCATTTTATTGGTTTCAAAATAACCTGCGTGTCGGAGATTGGGACCCATGTCTCCTGAATGGGCTGCGAGCTCCAAGTTCTCTTGGCTTCTACCACTGGTAACTCGATCTCGTATCGATCTACTAGCTGGTAGATAAAATGCTTTAATATAGACTCGGCAAAGTGTTGTCCAAGACACTTTCTTGTTCCAAATCCGAATGTGAAGAGATTATAGCGAAGCTAGTCAGTATCAGCATTAAGCATGTGAACTCTCCATTTATGGATGCTCACCTCCGTTGAATTTAAGTGATGAAATCTATGTGGGTTGAAATGAGAACTATCAGCCCCCCAGAATCTCTCGTTGTGGTTGATTGCAAGTGTGTCTATAACGACGCTTGTCTGGCTTTGAAATAAGTAAATGATCTGAGACGTGGTATGGATAAAACTGACGTATGGTGGAATAATATAGTTCCCAAGAGACTTTGTCAATGGCGAGTTTTCAGGGATTGTGAAAACTTGTTGTCGTCAGTCAACGGCTCTTTGAAAATGTACAAAGGAATTACTTACTAGTAAATGGCCGAAGTCTGGCTGACTCCAAAAAGCAGCAATGTAACAGGGTACTCTTCTTGCCACATAAATCTCCAAGGGATGCAGATTTTCCCAAAAGTTCTTCACGAACCTGTCGCTGTATGTCAACGTTTTCGCCTAAAAAGATAATAAGCCAGCTCAAAACGTGTGCAGAAACGTCTAAGTTAGCGAAAAGCATTTCGCTCAGAGTTTGGAGTACCTAGAAGCCAATCAGAAGCTGTGAAGGCATACTAAAATGAATGATGCTACCTCGTCTGTCGAAATACGGCCATTTTTCACCCCATTCCAAGCTTCGAAAGCAGGCGGTAGATTATTATTCATAAGTCCTGGGAACTTCATGATCTTTTCATTGAAGATTCGCCATTCGGTCTGAAAGCGCCGGAGTCGGCGGAACGACTGTGGCCTCGCCCATTGACATAGCCTGAAGCGATATACTCCACCTGAAATGACATTTCCCATGAGAGAAAGACTTTCTTGACCCAGACGCCACAGCTCCGCCTTTTGATCTTTAGTCAAGGGCCCATATAGATATTCTGCGGTAGTCATAAATGGAAAGCGCGAAAATTCACTGGCAGCGTGCAGCTGAAGAGGCTCAGCACGCTTTGTGTCAAAGCCCTGCAAATACCCAGCTGCGGCGAGCTCTGAATAACGAGAGATGGATGCCACGGTGCGATGAGTAAATTGAGGTTCAAAGTGAGACCGAACTTGTTTCCATCGTTCCCCGTTAATGAGACCCATACAGTCCCCGAGAAGCTCATGGAATAGCCAGCCACCGTTGCTAGACTTTGATTTCCTATGAGTGAACGAGTCACTGTGAAAGGCTTTGACGTCCTCAGGTCTCGTAATAACGCTGTAGTAAATCAATATTGAAGCTTTGGTGTTTTTCTCCCAGTTGTACCAGAAGACCTACACTTCGGGGACAAAACCTGACCAGATGCGGTAGACTGGTCCGTATTGACTCCATTCCTGACTAGCTTCGCGTCCTCGAAGAAATTTATCGAGACACTGCCCATCAAGAGATCTTAATTGAGGGCCTGGAATATTGCTACCTTGTGTGTTTTTAATTGGGTAAAACATAGTCGAGATCTGAGATTCCAAGGGTCCGTAAGTTTCCGACGGTCGGTCATTATTGTCTAGTTGAGGGGACATGCTCTCACGATTTTATGAATTATATAATCCTTCCATTGATAAAGCTTCCATATTGTGAATATACCGAGAAGCAAAAAAAAAGACCAGGAATTGATCAAGCTCATCACGAATGATCCGTGACGTTGCCGACGTCGTTGATGGGGATGAAGATAGCTCTCGTGATAGCTTTAAAGCATAACTGACCAGGCGCAATTGTATATATATCATTTCCAAGGTCTTGTCTGCAAGGTACTCTACAGGAGAGGATAATATTAGGTTTCATCACATACTCTCCGAGCTGTTGCCTCTCAAGTATTCGTTTTTCAATTTCGGGTAGTAAAAACTCCGGGATCAAGGATCTGTTAATGAGAAAACTTTTATAGTTTCTTTGTGTTGGTACTATCATCTCATGCTTATCATGGGATCACTCGCCGCTTATCGGGTGGGAAGCCACATGCTTATCATGTGACTTCCAGGTACCATATCCATAGCAGCAGTTTCATGATAATCAACCACTTCTTACAACTTACAACTACCTCACGTACTACACGCATAAGTAGACCACTTGCGGTGTAAGCTGGAGTCCAATAGCAAGCTATTGTAGATACTCACGACCTGAGTATTCCGACACTTTGTGTCAATGTTATCAAAGGAGAGGGCTATACCTATGTATTCTATTCTAACTGTGGTAGATAATGCGCGATATTCTTAATTAATGTAACTTAGTGCCTCAAGTTAATCCCGGCATTAAGATGTTTACGGCTCACAAATCAAACTTTTTGCATAACTCCAGTCCTTATGATGATACTATTGCTTTCATCAACCCAGACTGGCATGTTGATTCCTCTTGACACAAGCCGGTGAGGTATCTATGAAGGGTAGGGATGTTTTTCTTGATGCTGATGATTAAATAATAAGCCACCGAAGAAAAATTTGAACCACTAAGCGAAAATGGTTGAAAAGCTGAAGTTGAGTATGGTCATAACTAGCTAAATAATTATTAAGTCAATGACTATGTAGCTATTGGGCCTGTGAGTAGATCAGAGCGATTAGTGTCAAAGGCCCGATTCCATTTACAGTTAGTCTATTTTAGTCAGCATTGGAATCCCACAATGGGATTCCTCCATTCTACAATAGATACACATACACACTTTGGTACGCATACTGCGTTCTCATTTGCCCACTAGAATCCACTATTCCTTGGTAGTCGACCTCCATTTGACAGTTATGAGCCCGGTTCGCCGACAATTTACCTTGAAAAGCATATTTTAAGGGTAAACGAGACTGAAGACTGTGTCCGCGATGTCCGGCGATATAAGACTGAAAGATGCCTCTCAATGGCAGCAGTGGTATAGGCGAGTCAAAGCCGTAGCCACTGGCGGAGATGTATGGGAATACTGCGATCCAGAGCTTAGGACTGAACGACCAGTCCTAGGATCAGAACCACGCGACTACCCAATCAAACCAATGCTTGAACTCGACATGGATCGTAAAGAGTATGATTGGTTACGACAGGACTGGAAGGACGATGTAGAGGATTACAAGTTCCGTCTTTTATTCTACCAAACCAAGAAGCGAGCAATTGAATCTGTGAATGAATATATCCTAAAGCACTTGGATACACATGTTCAGAGTCTCGTTTTATAATATGACGAACCATTTATGCGACTTAAATTCTTGTATGACCGCTATAGAATCTCGTCAACAAACAGAGCCAGGGTATTCTACCATTGGCACAACTTTGCGGTTACTCCACCTATAGCTGGCGCCGATATTGGCGCCTGGCTTGAAGAATGGGAGCATTCGCGCCTTGAAGCAGAGGTTGAGGGCGTCTCAGCTGCCAAGAATGATGATGCTGTGTGGCTCTTTTTAGAGCTGGTAAAGGATATACTGCCAAACTGGTGGCAGTCCTGGCATGGAAAGATTATAGTTGATCGCGAGCAGATCTCTATGCGTCGCCTTCTAGATCATTTCAAAACCACCTACCAGAATCAAAGACCAAAGCAGCCAGCCATCTCAAAGGGAGCGTTCACGACATTCCAAGGACACCAGGAAACAGCTGGCCAAGCTAGTGCTCCTGCCCCTTATGCTCCTAGCCAACCTAGTGCCCCTGGTCAAGGGAAGAAAGCTCTGGCTAGAGCTTAATTCCTATAGGAGCAGAAAGCAAAACCATTTAAAGATAGGGCATGCCTATGTGGTTGTAGCTACCCTGTCGATAAGTGCTTCAACTTAAATGGTAAAGGCAGCAGAAAGCTAAATGCTGGCATGAAACAGAAGATAAAACAGGCCCTGGACGGGGATTTAGGCTGGAAACAGTGGATCGACACTAAACTGAAAGAATCCACCAACACCAGCAATACCCCAGCCGAGCCAGCCAGGCAATCTGCAGCCGTAAACCATACCACCAACTACACTATAAAACCAGTGTTTTTCGCGACTTAAACTACCTATGCTGCCGATTCAAGCGATAGTATATAGCTCGCAGGCACTGCCGAAGACTAGTTTCTCGGCCGAAATACTATAATCTTAGATACTCTAGACACAGCTTTAGATACTCTAAACACTATTCTAGACATAGTTTCAGATACTCTAGACACCATTCCAGACCTCTCTAGTGCATTTACAGACTCTATATTTCTGCAGAAATCAGCTTTCCTGACCTAGTCTAGTCAGGAGCTCCAGAAAGATAGCTGGGTGCTAGACATAGGCGCCAGTGCGCATGTCTGTAACAACTTAGGTGTATTCGTCAATTTCGAGCATGGAAGAGACACCCTTCAACTAGGATTAGGAGAGGTTGAAACCCTTAGTAAAGGATAATGCGAAGTCAAAGGGATCCATCCAGTAACCAAGGAATCGACATCAATCATCCTGTCAAATGTCCTCTATAGCCCTGAGTTTAGATTGAATCTACTCTCTTACTACGCCCTGAACGATAAAGGAGGCGATTAGGTGCCTTCGAAAGACTATCTTATTGATAGGGACGGGACACCTGTCCTAGCCATTCAAAGGATTCATAACCCAAATTTATTGATCGTGGAGCCATTATTAGCTGAACAAGATTCAGATAAAGAGACACCCGACGAGATCTTTTCGGCGGAAAAGCATGCATACATGGGCAAGGATTCCAGAAAACCACTAGAATCTAAGGCATCGACAGAGCTCTAGCATCGTCGTCTAGGTCATTTACACCATGATGCTATATAGTAGCTGTCGATCAACTACGTTGAAAGGACAGGGTTCACACGTTGCACTATATACACTGGAAAAGGGTATGGTTCGTCCTAGATTCTTAGTATATACGTTGTGCAAAGTGGTGTGAAATGTGTTCGATTCATGTAGCTACTTGAGTTCCTAATATAGTTGTTCCCCCGTGACTCGGGGGTCTGTTTGTTCCGTTCCGGGTTTATGGTATTGCATGATTGCAATATCCATGTTCCAACAGTAGCTTCCTAAGCTCGTTGACGGAGTTGTTTTAAGCGATCAACCAGACTCAACTAAACCAGTCACTGACCATATAAATGGCCAAATATAGAGCCCATGCTCTGTTTATAGTCTTACTAGAGCTCCTAGACAGATATCTAGACGTCATCTTGGATATAGGTATGGTCGATTTAGATAGATCTCTCTAGACCTGATCTAAATATTAATCGCGTATAATGAAGAGTGTTAGATTTGCCATTTTTACGTTAACGGAATCCACTTCCATTAGGTCGTCACCTATCATATAAAGAACCAGATAAATGATGCGATTCGACACTTCATTGAACTCCTGAAAAACTAGTGGAATTTACCTATTTGAGCATTCCACTACGACAATAAGAAAGCTGCAGGCATCACTATAGAGCGGTTTCTGGCAGATCAAGGTATTATAGTAACGCATTCAATTCCAGGACATCCTGAGATGAATGGCCTAATTAAACGGGCAGGCGGCATCATAATTACACGCGCCAGGGCCCTCCTAGAGGAGGGAAAGCTCCCTATCAGCCTATGGCCAGAGGTGGTAAAGGCTGTGGTTTATATCCTAAATCGTACGCCAACGAACACAAATGGTTCCTGGATAGTGCCCTAGGAAGAGGCGCGTAAATACACTAATTCAGACCTATAGGATAAACGAACGACACTGCCTAAGTCGAATCTCGCGAACATACGTCTATACGGCAGTCTAGCTTACTACAGAATCCAAAAGATTCCGAAATCAGACAAGATGCTGAGAAGGGCAGAGATTGGATTCCTTGTTGGATATATGGCATCTAATGTCTAGAGAATCTGGTTTCCAGATTCAAGGGGTGGTTAAGTCAGGCTAGTCAGAGACGTCGTTTTCGACGAGAATAGGCGATATATAGCTGATTTTGTACCACATAAGCTAGTGGAGATGCCTGTTTTTGCTGGTCCTGAGCCAGTTATCCTGACTAAGGAAGAGGCTAACGACGTCCTCTAGAGGGAGATTGGAGTCCTATAAACCCACCTACAGACCAATTTATAGGAGATGTTACCTGAAACACAAGTAGTTGACCATTCATATCTATCTGATCAGGTTACTAACAGTCCTGTCCTCTCTCTCGATGCTCGATTAGTTCAACAACCTGACGCATTTACTAGAAAAAGCAACCAGTCTGGTGTATCCAATAATGCCGAAAACCCATTTTTCGGCCGAAATACTAGGCCAAATACACCACGATACCCTACACCAACAGAACATGACTGGATTCCTGGGACATTCCTAGAAGACCTAATCGAGCCTGATATAACTGACGACATACCAAATTCACCAGATTCGCCAGACTCAGTGCTAAATCAAGGGGTGGGGGTGGCTCCTATAGAGCTAACTAAAGGGGATTCGCCCCTGTTTACTACTCAAGATACTACTTAAGACACTGCTTAAGACAGTGATCGAGATAATGAACCATAATTCCGACAGATTGGTCTAGACTTAGACAAGTCGAACATTATCCCTAGTAAACGTATTCGCCATTCAACCAAGAGAGATGATGCCTACTTTATATAGCTTATGCTGCGGCTAGACAAGGATCTAGATGAGCTTAAGACATAATCTAAAGCTTATTACCATGCATTCTACACCAGAATGGTGCAGAAACCAGCGAGCCAGATGCATAGAGACGACCTTCCACCACCTCCGAACATATTTAAGGAGGTAAAAGGGCATGCGTTTAAAGATGCGTTTAATACTATAATGCAAAAGGAGATCGATAGTCTTACTGAAAAGCACATATTCTCAGTCGTCCCAAGGCTAAACAATAGATCAAAGCAGATTCTGCCCTTAAAATAGGTATATGCTTACAAGTTTGATGAGAATGGTTTACTCCTAAAGTATAAAGCTCGTATCTATGTACGCGGAGATATGGAGTGGATATCTACTAAAGAGAAATGTTTAGCTATACTAGCCATCAAAACTGTACGCATGCTATTCGCAATAATAGCTACATTTGATCTAGATGTACGCCAAAGAGACGCTGTCGCAGCTTTCCTGAACAGCTTCCTTGAAGATAAGGAGGTTTATATAGAGCTTCCCTCTAGCTTCAGGAGCACCAATGGCCAAGTTTGGCACCTCCATAAAGCACTATATAGATTACGCGTCTCACCAAAGCTCTGGCAGAAGGAGGCCTCTAGAGTCCTGTTAGGCCTAGGTCTTACATAGTTACTAGAGGATCCATGTGTCTTTATAGGCGACGGAGTCATAATATTCTTCTATGTTGATGACTTCCTGATTGCTAGCCATAAGATAAAAGCTCAATACGCAAGGTAGCTTGAATCGGAACTCGAAAAAGCATGGGAACTGACTGATCACGGCGACACAGAGTGGTTCCTGAACATACATATTGTACGCGATTATAAACAATGCAAGCTCTAGCTATGCCAGGACAGCTATATTGATAGTATGGCTGCCCATTTCGGCCTAAATAACCGACTATCAGTGGCTACACCAATGCCAATTGAAGAACTCTTACCTTATGAAGGAACTACGTCGCCTGATGCGATCCAACTCTACCAGGAAAAGATTGGTTTAATATAGTATACAGCTACTATAACCAGGCCTGATGTAGCCAAACCAGCCACTAAACTGGCCCAATTCCTGCAGAACCCAGGTCCGCAGTATTCTGCTGCGGCAGACAGGACAATCACTTATCTGTTCCATACTAAGAACAGAGCACTCAGATATGGTTTAGGACACCATTCTGATGACACCTCTGACCCTGATTTTAGCCGAAATAAGGATCAGATCAACGACGCAACCCACCAATCTATAGGCACATCGGCACTAACCATCGCTAGTAACGTATCTTATAGTGACCATAAAGACCGTAAGAGCTCTATAGGCATGATATGCATGCTCTTCGGCGGCCCTATAGATTGGAAGGCGTCTAAACAAAAGACGGTGACGACGTCCACTACCAAAGCAGAATTGCTTGGTTTATCGGACGCAGCCAAAACACTGGTATGGTGGAAGAGAGTACTAGTCCATGTTGGACTAGAAATGGAATACGATAATATAACTCTCGACTGCGACAACCAGAGAACAGTTGATCTGCTCACTAAAGAGGGAGCATTTGAGACCAAGCTACATCACATAGATATACACCGCAGCTGGCTACGCCAGGAGGTGCAGGAAGGACGTATTAAGATCAGATGGGTCCCAACAAAGCTTATGGTGGCAGATGGCTTCACGAAAATCTTGCCAAAACAGAGATTTGACGCCTGGATTCGTCTTCTTAATTTGGAAGATATAAGTGAACTGCTCTAATCTAGGGTCTTACCCCTAGATTCAGAGGATTTAGAGCATCAACTGCCTAAATCAGGATATAGACTACGTTTTTAGAGGGAATTAAGGCGATTCAACAGCCCAAATCGGCCCTGTGTTTAAGGCCAGTTTACACCTTGGAGGGGTGAAAACTGAAGGGGTGTGTCAAAGGCCCGATTCCATTTACAGTTAGTCTATTTTAGTCAGCATTGGAATCCCACAATGGGATTCCTCCATTCTACAATCTATACACATACACACTTTGGTACGCATACTGCGTTCTCATTTGCCCACTAGAATCCACTATTCCTTGGTAGTCGACCTCCATTTGACAATTAGAATTTGTCACGTGTAAACTTATAAATAAGGATTCCGAGCTGAGGATCAGCGATTTTAGCCAGATTTGGATTCTTTCTTATATCGGCTTGCAGTGTTGTTAAATTTTCTGAACCAACTGACCAATCATTAAAAAGCCACACATGAATGAAAAAAACTGTCATTTCTAACTAGTGCAAAAATATTAAATACACATCCAGGAGGTTGCAAACGGATCAAGCCCCCGCCCGGTTAACATCGAGTGTCAACTCTCGAGAGGCTAGAGATTACCAAGAACTGAATTCCACGAAAAAATGTGAGACTAACTACAGTAGATTCTACTATTGGATTTCGGGTAGCTTTGATAAATGTTTTCGTTTAAGTCGCCTCAAATATGATTGACTAACTCATCAAAAGAAAAATTCAAAAAAATTGCTGCACTTGCTAGATATTCCCATTATCTTTGAAGCATCTCGAGATAGTATTATAGTTTTTATCACAATAATGAGACTCCCTCTCATTCAAGACTGACATTCAGATTTTCCTATCCGTCACCGAGATTGATGGTAAATTTCCGGGTTGAAGTATGCAGTCACATTCCAGTTCCCCTTGTGAGAAGCCCAGCATATGTAAGTATGAAATCCTAACCCATTGGCCAAGTCCCGGTGCGTACTGCCAGATAGTTGTTAAGTCAGTTGGCCGCAAAAGCGATATCACTTTTCAGGAAGCTCACCATAATCGTTTAACTCCATCATAATAAGAGAATTTCGCCAGTTTCTTGCCACGGCGAGCAAGATAATCGGAAAGGCCTCGGGAAATCTGCTCATCACTTTGCGCATAATGTCGGACAGGAAGGTATACCTTTGACTTGGGAGCTTTTGTACCCTGTTTGAGCTCAAAGTAATATAGAATGCCGGCAGTGCGATGTTCTTTTCCACGAAGTGGTTGATAATCATGATATTTTTTAGGGTCTAAACCGAAGACCGAGCACCAAAGCTCCCGGAGAGAGTCTTCTTCCTCACGCGTTTTGGGAGCCCTACCTCCAAGACTCAACATGTGAATTGCACTCGCCAATGAAGTGGATCGAGATCGAACATATATCTTTAGTCGGGAATGGGATGGATCTAAACAGTCAATTGCAATAATCTCAACGGCTGGCTGCGAATTTCCTGGAAAGGAGCTAAGAAAGTCGCGAAACATATCAACGGAGTCCATCAGAGCATTTGCAGATGTAGGAAGATTCTGAAATACGTCCTCAATGATGAAGAGTTTTGTTTTATCTTCTGCTAATGCCCTTCGTTCCGGCAAGTAGTATTGCTTCACAATAATTGATGTTTCTAGCAAATCAAAGGCCATAAAACTTTGTGACTGGGCAACGGACAATTTTTCATTTTCAACTCTGAACGGGTCACTTCGTGACGAAAGCATCCTTTGAAAATGTTGATGCAAGCTCAAGTCCAAGCCTGGAGCCAAGGGGAGAGTATCACCAAGTAGGCGCAGGCTAGCAGCTGTGTTGATAGGATCGATTTCTTTTCCAGCGAATGGGCCAATAGGTTCGACTGAATATCGAACTGTAGGGGTTTCTAGCGATGTCGACCAGCACCAGCTTAGCTCGACTGGTGTATGGTCATCCGTCATGAAGCTCTTCCAACTGTCTGGGGACCCACGCCCCCTAGGATGAGGACCCAAAGATTGTGCGACTGACTCATGAAAAAACTTCGTATGGATTGATTCTGATAGGGAAGGATAGCCAGCCATAATTAACATGTCAGTTAGCATGGAGCCGACCTCATTTATCCATAATGATCGGTCATTGGCTGAGGGTTGATGGTCGTTTTTCTCATTCTCATTCTATATTAATAGGTTGATTGTTAATGGCTTGATTTATTCACGAAAAAATCTAATTACCTTGATCTTCTCCGACCGTTTCCACTTAGAAAATCGAGTTCTAACATTTGTAAGTACTATACCGTGTTATTGTGCGCGGACGGTTACTCACAGGAATTTTACTAGTGTCAATGCCATGGTGGCCTTCCGCTTGTATTGATATTGGAAAGGCTAGTATCACTCTGAAGCCCAAGTTGGAGCTGGATTTTAATCTGACAAAATATTAAGTACAGTTATAAAATCTCCTGGGGTGATGCTTCCAACGTTCATGCGCTCAGGATTCAGTCACCCTGTTCACGGAGCGTAAGCAGGAGGGCTCGGCGACTAATTAACCAGAATCTCTCAAATTCTCCGCTTCAGAGAGGAGTCTCATTTGATAGACATCTTAAATCGTTTGCCGGTCACGACAGCAGGATTTTAATTACTATGAAAGCTATCGGAGATACCACACTTGGCCCAAAAATTCGAGTATACAGGCGGCGGGGTGGCAGGGTCGACCCCGCCACCCTACCACCCGACGAACTTTTCGTCTTATCGGCCAATAAAAACTCTGTATTTCATTTTTTGTGGGTAATATGATATATCATAATAAGTTTGTCGGGGAGCTAAAAAAAAAAGGTCGTCGGGTAGTGGTAAATAGCCATCTTATGTGGTAATATGCAAGATTTGACTTACGGTGCTTCAACCCTACCACCCCGCCACCTAGCTTCAATTTTCGATAATTTACCAGGAATTTGTAAAATGTTTCTTCCTTCATTCAACAATAAAACAGTCAACTTAATTCAGATTTTGATAATATAGATATAATTATTAAAGGAATTCCTAAGAATAATACTTTGGAACTGGTTTTAGGAACTTATTATCATTTTTTGAAGTTTTCATCTAAAATTATAAAATTTCATAACAATATATCTATATCTGTATATATATCTGTAGACTGTATCTATTTACATCTCAGTCCTTGCAAATCGATTCCTATCTTTTACCATCTTTTACTGATCCTTACCATTATTTACTAGATTTTATGATTTCTTGAAACATATCAACGATTATCTTTCCAAATTAAATGTAATATCTTTATAAATCTTAATTTTAAGGATATCTGTATAAAAATAAACATCTTAAATAGTCTTTTCTTAAATCACTTGATATCAAAAACCTTAAAATTAAAATATTAAGCACTAAGCACTAATCACTAAGCACTATTACACTACTATTTATCATTCTCCTGCTTCCTCGGATCCTAGATCATCCTTATCATCCTCAATAATTTCAGCAGCTTCTTTAGCAGCCTTTTCAGCAGCCTTTTTCTTTACCTCTTTAGCAGCTATTTTCTTCGCCCCTTCTTTATCCGTTTTTTCAAGTTCTGCTTGTGCACGAGCAATCGCCTTCTCTCTTTCTTTCTTCTTAGCTTCTCTTTTCCTATCCTCTTCCATATCCACTCTAATAGATGCTTCATCTATCAACTCATCAAGTCTATCTTCAAGTTCTGGTATATGAAGTTCAGGTCGCTTCAGAAAATCCCAAATCCCCCCAGAACTTTTACCATCTTTCGTCCGCGACTCTAACCAACGAACAAAGCTATCACACTCAGCTTCTGAAGGGAGCTCAATGTCAGCTTTCTCTTTACCTTTTCTTTCCTTCGTGACAGAACTTGAAGATATGCTCTTAGATTTAGGATTCTTAGCATCAGCTAGTTCCTTTTCTCTCTTCTTCTTTTGAGCTTGAATCTTAGCCATTTGTTCTTCAAATTCTTTTTGTTCTTTTTCTTCTTGTTCTTTTGCATTCTGAAGTCGATCTTCTCGTTCTTGTCGCTTCCGTCTTTTATTTCTGTCTTGCTGTCGCCGGTCTCTTGCTGATTCAGATGGACTATCATCGTCGGAATCGGTGTCATCTTTATAGAATCTTGATTTTCTTTTTCGTTTTTTCGTTTTTGCAAGTTGTAAGACATTTTCTTCCTCCTCGTCACTTTCTTGGCCTACACCAGCAGTTTCTTCATCTTCGACCTTTTTATGGCTGCGTTCTTTTCTAGAAAATTGATATATATATTAGTAAGTAATGGTAAAAGATGGTAAGGAGTGGTAAGGGATGGTAAGGGATGGTAAAGGGCTTCGATAATCAATTCTCACCTTCTTGCAGTTTTCCGACCGTCTAGGACATGAAGTCCCTTCCATTTACCTCCATGGTTTGGTTTCTAATAGATATTAGATTGAGTTATGTTAGTAATATCAAATTTAACTCACAATATGTGACATTTTAATATGTTTTCGGATTGGTGCTGCTACACACCTAGTACTTATTGGTGTATAAGAGCAATAAGGACATCGTTGAACACAACCATGAATCTCGATTATTGCGTTTTGACAAGGCCATCTTTGTGCTGGATGTTCTGGACATTTACAAACTTTAACAGGGTTCCTAAAATAAGAGATAGATTAGTACTATTCTATCTTGATAGTCAGGAATCAATATTGAGACTTATACTTACACAAAGCTTCCTGGTATCCTATCTATCCTACTATACCACCAATGACCACTAGGGGTATCTGTGGGAATATCGTCAGGATCATTTGGGTTAACTATTATGTTGGCCATAATAAGCTTGATAGAGAATAAAAAATATCGAAAAAGATAATGAGGACTTAGGGGAAACTTCATAGATTAAGTAGCTCAAAATGACCTTATTGTCGAAAAAGTAATTTCTAGAATAATTGAATATTTTCTAGGAAAATCTTTAGATCAATAAATCGGTTAAAGACCTATCTAGGTAGAATTAAAGACAAACATCAGATCATATGATTAAAATTTCTTTTCTTTATTAGAGCCCAAAGAAAATAGGATTTTTAGGATAATACAAAAACAAATACAAAGAACAACAACTTCAAGTCTCTTTTTCATTTTCCAGCAGTTTTCAGGTTTCATTCAGGTTCCTTAGAGATCTGGTGGAAGTAATTCGCTTTTTTAAAGGCCTCTTTATTATCTCCCTCAATATACCGAAAATAGGATTTTGAAACAGTGTTAGAAACAGTGTAGAGTCTAGTAAACCGTTTATCAACCTAAATTTATTAATCTTAATCAATATAAATAATTAAGTAATAAGATATTATATGACTTATAGTATGGATATTTTCAATATGCTTTCGAATTGTAGAAGCCTGGTATTTTCTTATCTGTCCAGTCTTTTTGTTAATACCTTCTGGTGAGTAACAACAATATGGGCAATTAGTTGCGCAACTTGGAATCGCCTAAAGAAATTAGTAATAGTATTAAGAAAAGGAAGTTGAGCTCACAATAGGACCAGTAAAATTCCAGATATTATATCGAGTATCATGTGTATGCTCCTGACACTTGCAGACTTTAAAGGACCTGATTCTTGACTGGTTTTCTTGAATCAATTCTGGATATAATTCCTTTTGTCCTCTAACTCTTTCCTCTTGTGAGATTTCACCACGTTCTTTTGCGACCAAAGAAATAGTATTGCTTGGTGGGCCAAGATCTGGGAGACCAATAATTGGTTTAAATCGGGGTTGTGATTCTTTGAGAGGCCATGATCTAGCTTGGGGTGCTTTAGTTTGGTTGGTCGGCTGCTGGAGTGCTTTTGTCTGATCGGTCGGCTGCTGGATCACTTCATCCTGATCGGTTGGTTGCTGGATCACTTTAGCCTGATCGGTCAGCTGCTGGGGTACCTCGGTCTGGTCGGTCGGCTGCCGGAGTACTTCAGTCTGGTCGGTTGGTTGCTGGATTACTTCAGCCTGATCAGTGAGCTGTTGGGATATCTCAGTCCCATCGGTCGGTTGAAGTGATGATTTCAGAGGAGTTTTTGTTGTTTTTGTTCGTTTTGGTGGAGGTTTTGTTATTCTCGTTTGTTTTGGGGGAGGTTTTGTTGTTTTCGTTTGTTTTTGAAGAGGCTTTACTACTTTAGTTTTTTTTATAGTAGGTCTTGTTGCTTTAGTTTGTTGAAGAGGAGGTTTAATTGATTTCGTTCGTCTTGGGGTAGATATAGTCGTTTTCGATATACCCCTTGTCTGAAGTCGTGGTTGTTTCTGCGGTTTTATAGGAGGGGCTTCATCATCAGGATGATTGGCGTTAGTCCTGGATCTCGTAGAATATGGCATGATGAGAGAATCCAATGATATGGTAAAAGATAGAAATAATTAAGGGGGAAAGTCAGATAAAACCAGAATTGCGAGGAAATAAATTTTCTTAAAAAGAAATGTGATTGATCATATCTTACTAACTCTTACTGATTTCGACTAATTTCGACTAATTTCGACTGATTCTGACTGACTTTAATTGATAAATATTGATCCTAACTATCCTTCTCCTTTACTGCTTCACCCATCATCTCTTCAAACTTGTCAATACGAGCATTATTGCGTTCGACGGTATGCTCCAATTTCTGTAGAACATTCATCATTTGTGGTATTCTGTTCACGAATTGTACTAGTAAATCTTGATGAGATGTTCCAGCTAATTTAGTTGTAGGTTCATGATGAAGAGGTGGTTGTTGTAATATAGCTGATGATAATGGAGGTGATGAAGTGAGATCGATATGATCTAAATTGAGCTGCCGGATAGGTGTTGGTGTCTCTAGGAAAGATCCAGGGCGCTTTCTGTGGAAATGACTACCAAAAGTCCGAGATCTTTGTGTTGGATTGACTCCATAACGACTTTTTCGGGCAATATCATCAAGTGGGCGTGTATCTCGAGCTTGCGATTCCTTGAGAGCTGGGAGTAGTTGCAATTGGATACCTCCACGATTGCTACCAGCATGACTACTCTCGACCAGATTGGTGTGCTTAACAAATGCACGGAAATGCTCTTTTTTCATCTTAGTCATTGACTCATTCAGTCCAGAGATTAACCAACGACAAGAAATCTTCTTAACCCAGTCACGAACACGTTTCGACTGTGAAGACTTAAGGGTAGTAATAAGACTTTCACAAGCGCTCCTAGGTGTTATATTCTCGAGCCGTTGCATCATAGGGTACTCAATCTCATTTTGATATCTTGCAAGGTTCCGATGGTAATGAACCTTACAATATATAAACATATGTTGAATATGTTCTTGCCAAGTGTAACTGCCATCAACTGAATGCAGATATTGACCAAACCCACTAGATTGTTTCCCATATATATCAACCATCACAGCGATGATGCCTTTCCGATGAATATGGAACCAATCAATCTTTTTACCGTTAATCGTCTCAAGTATGTTAAACAGACTTTGAAAAAGAAATTGGTAGGATTCGGTTGAGTCACTACTAACAAGGACTCTTGCCAGGTAGACAGTTTGCTCTAAGTCAGGATCTTTTGTGACGAATACAACTTCGTTCAAGATCCCTGTAACTCTTTTAAAAGTCATATCGACCTGAAAGTATTCAATGGTTGTCCAAAAGCGAGCTTGGGCATCGGTAAGACACACAATCCGGAGATTTATACCATCATTATACATCTCGCGAATATAGAGGTCTTCCTTAGGTCCTGATTGCTGCTTACAATGCTCAAGTAAAGCACCTAATAGTAATTAGTATAAAATAACTAAATACAATACGGATCGGTAAGGATCGGTAAGGATTGGTTAAATCAAGATTAGACTATAGGATAAATAATATATAACATACCTATCCAGTTTTGTCCAAGCGGACAGGAAATCACTCTTTGCTTCTTAATCCAAGAAGCAATAAGATCTCTATTACCAAGAGATGGGTGAAGTTCAGGGAGTGATGCAACACCTTGTGCTTGCAAAAACTCAGTCACAATAGAACTGCGGATGAATCGACTATATGATAATGAATGATGATCGGTCCTTTGAATCAGTTGAGTCATATCCTTTATGATGTTGGACGGCGTCTTGCTCATTGGTGGAGGTGGATGTGTATGGGTGCCCCAAGATGCCAAGATTATAAATGGGTAGTTCTTAGTCTCCTTTGGAATCACTGAGATAAAGATAGTATTACATGGGACATAATGGAGATTCATGTCCACATGGTACTGGCACTTTGAAGTCCTTGATTTTGCTGGTACCATCGTTGCGCACGCGAGAGAGTTCACGGTAATATCGCGGCTAGCATGGCCTTCCACAAGTTCTCTGAGATAGACTAAATCATAGCCTTCGAGAACCGGAAACCTATGGAAGTAGTGCTTACCAGATTCATCTTCTGGCTTCTATGCACTACACCCAAGATAATACTGATTTGTTTCAAACGCACTTGAGGAGAACCTCTTCAAAATCATTCGGGAATAATCTCTATGTGTTTTCCCACATTTTCGATCCCATTGTTGACGGCATTTATGATAAAATGCGTAAGTACGTGCGTTCGCTCGGTCATCTCCAAACTTGGTCTGAAAGTAGTTATTGACTTCGATTTTTCTATTTTCAAGATGATCCCAAAGATCAGCAGTGACTTCAGAATGACCAAATTCAGAGGTGAAATCATTTGCGAGTTTCGGACAAGATTTGATACCAGAGCATGACTTCTTAGTAAAGGTGTAAGTGACATTCCTAAGTAGTGGTGATTTCTTATCCCCATGCCAGCGCTTATGCTGGTTTTCACGACCTCCAGCTCCATACTGCATATCTTTGATCATATCTGAAGGATCTAGACCAGTAATCGGCATAAGATATGCAAATCCGTCTGGATGCGTCTGAGGGTACTCAGGTAGACATGCGGCGTATTGTAGGAATCTGACTTTATTATATCCACCAGATATTGGAACAGAGGAAAGTTGGAAGCCGTGAGGGTTCTCCTGAGTAAGAGTAGGTAGGTCGGTAGGGGATTGAGAGAAGGTTTCTAGGCTTTCCCTTTCGTCATTAAGATTCAAGAAATGATCAGGATCATAGAGTTCATCAAATGGAATTGATCGATTTTTCTTCCAAGATAAAATCATAGCAGAAGCCATAATTATAAAGATTCTTAAGAAAGTGAAGGCAAACAGAAATGAAAAAAAAGAGAAATCTGTACAAATAGAAGGGAATTTGTGGGTTCATAAATTGAATTATGAGAGATCATATTCTTAGAAATTAAACGATATATATAGAGAAGTATAAATAGACAAAAAAAGCAAATACCTAAATCTTCAGTCTAGTAAATAATGGTAAGGATCAGTAAAAGATGGTAAAAGATAGGAATCGATTTGCAAGGACTGAGATGTAAATAGATACAGTCTACAGATATATATACAGATATAGATATATTGTTATGAAATTTTATAATTTTAGATGAAAACTTCAAAAAATGATAATAAGTTCCTAAAACCAGTTCCAAAGTATTATTCTTAGGAATTCCTTTAATAATTATATCTATATTATCAAAATCTGAATTGAGTTGACTGTTTTATTGTTGAATGAAGGAAGAAACATTTTACAAATTCCTGGTAAATTATCGAAAATTGAAGCTAGGTGGCGGGGTGGTAGGGTTGAAGCACCGTAAGTCAAATCTTGCATATTACCACATAAGATGGCTATTTACCACTACCCGACGACCTTTTTTTTTTAGCTCCCCGACAAACTTATTATGATGTATCATATTACCCACAAAAAATGAAATACAGAGTTTTTATTGGCCGATAAGACGAAAAGTTCGTCGGGTGGTAGGGTGGCGGGGTCGACCCTGCCACCCCGCCGCCTGTATACTCAAAAATTCCGACTTAACTACCGTTAATTTTCTTCATATTTAACTTACATGAATGACATGAGAAATCAGTACTACAGTTTTGATACACTATGACCTTAAAAATTTCCGATTGCTGTAGAGAAAGAAATGCAACGCTCATACCCAATCTCATGGGTAGGCACGATGTTGTTCTCTCCGAGGATACTTCTACCATCGACCTTAGTACGGCTGAAAACTGGGCGGCCAAAATGTTACTGCTGCAATCTATCAATGGGGCATATAGCGAACTATCCGAACATGTATGTTTGTGTCTCCTCGCCCATGATACTTCTGTCTTTAGACACTCACGGATATCACCAGAACTTGGCCTATCCATCCAGCATTGGTGGCTGTCCAACTACTCGAGAGCGCATCGCAGACTTGCTTAATCGCCACTTCAAGCCCTCAATTACTGTCAAAAGCTCTCACATTGTCTTGACAGCCGGAGCCAGCTTCGCCTTGACGGCACTTGTGGAGCAGATCTGTAATCCGGGGGATGGGATCTTAATTGCTGCGCCATACTGGGCCGGTCTTGATATTTCGATCAGCACTCACTGCCATGCCACAATTGTGCCTGTCCATGTGCCCTTAAATGATTTTTTCAGCAAAAGCAGTATTCAGAGTTACCAAGAAGAGATCAACAATTCTAAAATCCCTATCAAGGCCATTCTAGTCTGCAATCCACACAACCCATTGGGTCAGTGCTACCCCCGGGAGACTTTGCGGGCTTTGCTCGAACTCTGTGAGCGTCATAAGTTGCACTATATTTCAGATGAAGTATATGCTCTTTCTGCACATCAGCCATTTGCGGTAGATTTTCAACCATTTGTTTCGGCACTTCAACTCGGTAAAGATGGTCTGAAAGATCAGATTCATGTTGTATACAGTTTGAGCAAGGACTTTGGCTGCAACGGAATCCGCGTCGTGAGTGATTTTGCAAAATTGCGATGAATATTACTAAAACCTCATTCCAAACAATTTTAGGGTGCGCTTATCACTCAATTCAATGATGCTGTGCGCCTGAGTACCGCTCTGAGCGTTTACAATCAAGTATCTACATTGTCAACTGTGTTGGCATCGAAATTGATTCTGAAGCCTGCCACCGTTGAGAAAATCGCAAAGCATGGGGGTGAACAGCTCATTGAAGCATACAAGTCCGTAAAGTCTTTCCTAGAGAAAGAAAAGACCCAGTATGTACCAGTAACTCATGGTATGTTCGTGTTTGCTAGACTTGGAAGGGTCAATGATTTCGATGAGGAAGAGAGGCTATTGAAATGTTTCAAATGCAGAGGATTATCTGTTTCATCAGGATCGGGCTATCATTTTCAAGAGGCTGGGTGGTTTCGTATCTGTTACGGAGTTCCTGATGAGCAGCTACAAGAGGGTCTCAGGAGGATTGGTCTTGGTATTCAGGATTTCCAAGCTGGTAAGTGAACTTGCTCGATGCCTCAGGCGCCAGTCTAGTAAATAAAACAAGATATAGATGTTGGAGTCGGACTCCACAAGTTCAATCTTGCTTCGATGTACTTATATATATAAGCAGAATTTCAGATGAACAGGAGCTGTGTAGCTAGCGTAGAAGAGACTTTATATTTACTCGGTCGCTCAAAATGAAGTTTGGGCTATGTCGTACTTCAGACAAAGTCATTATTAGATTACCCGGACAGTCTCACCAAGGATGACTACAGTGACCTATCAGGATTATATTCAGTATATACGTGGATACAAGTTGGTCAGCATGATCAAAATACCCATTGAAATGCATTACAGCAGGAGCTCTGTCACGATCCTGGAAGGACCGCTCCAGGTTCTTAAGGTAGAGGCTCATCTTCGAACCCGAACTTCGATAGCTTAGGGAGAAGAAGGGAAGCACGAAGAACGACAAGTTCCCTTAAGGGTTTGGACATAGTGTCTGGACTTCGTCTTAGGGTTTTGGTTCATTCGAGGTTAAGCTATTTCGCATTTGAAGTTCAAAATCATGAACTTACAAATACGGGAGAAGCTACGAAGTTCGCTCCCAAAATCTCTCGTGGGTTAAACACGAAACGCACTTAAGACGAACGAAGAAGTTGAGTTGTAGAAGTAAGGGGTGTTGTCGAAGTATCGTACTTCGATACGAACTTCGATGGCGAACCACGAATCACATACGATTCCTTATACGGCACAATACGGAATACGAGGAAGGATAGATAGCCTCAAAACACGAAGTACGAAACACGGGACGAGGAATGGTATAAAATAGAGGAGCTGAACCACGAGAGAAGGTCAGCGATTAACTTGGTTAATTACTACGAACTACATTTCGAACATACTTCTTTTACTCTGATCATCAAATCCTTAGAACTTTGTACCTTACGTAGAACTTTTTTACAGCACCAGCCCGTTATATTTTGAGTTGGTTGAAGAAACCATTGGCAAATATGGTGCCGATACGGCCGATATTTTCAACTTCGACGAGACAGGTTTCGCGATGGGGGTAAATACGACTAAAAAAAGTCATTGTACCTGCTGAATATTATGGTCGAAGAGCTATCTTATTCAGGAAGCGGCATTAAGAATCTAAACAGAGCCAGAATGGGCCCGCCCAGATAGCTTCCAGGACCGAGCAAGGGACAAAGATAAGAGAAGAAGAAATGGATGGAGCCCTCTAGAGGCGTTCCAATTTAGGAAAGAAGGCGTCCTGACGACACAAGAAACTAAGTGGGAGACCCGGAAATCATTCGTTCTGGCGCCATGGGAGGCACGCATCCCATGCATCATTCAGTCAGATCTAGAAGTAGCCTAGACCTCGGTATACGATATTGAATGCAGACAAAACCAGCCACTAATATATTACTCAGAGGGAAACAGGAAAAAGGGTCATATTGGCGCTGCGGCCATCGTCCAAAACGAAGGAATGTTCTTGAGAAGACACCTCGGTCCTAACAATGAATCAATAGTCCATGTTATGGAGCTCAACGGGATAGAGATGGCGATTGCCGACTTCGTCAAGCTCCAACAGAGTTCAAAAGATGACCCCAGGTACATAAAGATGGTCATATTCTCTGACTGCTAGGCTGTGATCTAAGCTATTCAAAACCTAAAGCGATCGTCGAGTTAGTTCGTGCTCGCCTTAATCTATGACCACGTCCGGGCCCTTAGATCGCTGTACCAAACACTCGCGATCGACAAGATTCCCACCGAGGTCCGATGGATACCCGCCCACACAATTATTCCTGATAGTGAGAGTGCGGACGTTGAAGCAAAGTTGACAACGGAGAATGCTGTGGGGTCGGAACAAGGTTTTCCTAGTTCCGACCTTAATTCAGGAACCAGGCTAATGGTGATCGCTAAACGCGAGGTGTGGGCACGTATGAGGGCACGATAGGCGCGGGAGTGGGCGAGGGAAACAACTGGTAAACTAAACCAGAGACTCACGAAGGTACCTGAAAAGAAGAACCTTTAGAGATTTGAAGTGTTGCCGAAAGCATACTCTCTAGTAATGGTCCAGTTGCGATCAATGAGGATTGCCCTAAAGCACTTCCTTTTCAAGATCAACAAAGCTGACTCGGACGATTGCGGCTGCGAAGAGGGATTCCAAACGCCGAGACACATGCTCCTACAGTGTCCGTTATGCGCGAGCTTAAGGAAGCAGATTTTGACCAAGATCCAGGCACGGGCGGAGTTAGAATCGAATAAGATGGCGGGTTACGATGCCTTCGTATCAAACTTGTAGGCCACCCGCTGTGTGGCCAAATTCATGATCCAAACAGGTCTCCTCAGGCAGTTTAGACATATAGACACTGGATCTGACTCTGGAATAGACCCTGAATCAGACGAAGACCCAGGTTGGAGGAGACTACGATAACTTGTTACGAATGGCGCAGCGTGGTGAAGACGCTGCGTATTAAGAACGACAATACCGAGGCCTACCGAGAGGCTAAGGACGAATACATCGACAAGTTCAACGAACGACAAAAGGACTGAAACGAGGGGAGGAGAATGCTATGAAGGGGGAGAGGGGAAACAAAGGAAGTTGGCTACGGAGGGAGAGCTACGGGTTACTATGCATGGAGGGCGTTATAGTTTAAAGAGAGATTTCGGTTTATGATGACATGACGCCATATTTCCTTTTTATCTAATACCTTGACATTCTGGCGTTTGGAATACCCTAGTTTCTGCCGGAGGAAACGCCTGCATAGCCATACGCTACTATTTAGGTTGCATCAGGTTGATAGAGTATTGGTTGATTGATTGATTGATTGATTGATTAGTTGATTGATTGATTGATTGATTAATTGATAGGCTATATCATCCAACGGTCCAGCGGCAATGGGTTAAAAAATGGGAGAGCTCCATCGACACAATAGGGCAGATGAAAAAAGCCTGTCGTATAGTCACGGCTGGCTGTAAACCAGGGCTCGGAGGTACAAACAGGTGCGAATGACTGGGGAGTATAGGACAGTCACCTGCCCATTTACCATAATCTGTTCGAGAAAAATGGTTTGCTCGTAATTGGTGATAAAACCATGCTTTAAGTGAAGCTCATGCATGTAGCCCAGTGTCTGTGCAAAGGCTATTGTTCGTCCTGCATCATCTAAGCCCTCCAAATCATGTTCCCACACCCACGGGGTCTTCACCTCTCCGACTCCCATCACTTGAATGGTCACTTTATCTAGTATAGCAAGATCAGGCTTCCCCGAATAGTTGATATTCGCGCTCTTGAATCCGCCATACTGGACATTGATTTGTTGTGCCTGAAGCATTTTGTCTAAATAATGACCTAATTGGTTGTGTAGGCGGCTTGTTACAATTTCCTTGTTACATGCAGGGATTGTCTTGGGAGAATCTGCTCTAAAGCAAATGATTCGGGTGCTCCAGCTTTCTTGGCTGTTAAGGGTGGCCTGGAAATTGATAATAAAGTTCGGGTCTTCAGCCATTGTATGCATGTATAAGATATTATGCTATGCGCTCGATTTTGTCCGATGGGTGGAACTGACTAGTCTGGGGAAGGGTTGCTTGAAAAATTCGCGTGCTCGAACTTGGGCGGCCATTCGATCTGATTTAGATGAACTAAATAGTCAGCTTCAAATACCAATAATGCCTCATTAACACAGGCAGAGGTAACTTACTATGATTTGGGTGACCCTGAATGTGAAAACTAGCAATTTGGAGGTGCCTCATGGAAATTAAGATGATGTGGAAAGGAAAACTTGTGGGTCGTCAACACTCTACGTGTGCATGTTTTGTTTTCAAAAGGAATCAGGGACCTCAGGCTTATACCCAATGCAACTTCTCGGTAAATATCTGTCGATACCACTAGACCAAAGTGGGGCACAGGACGAATGGTTCCGATGCTGTTAGTTCGACATGAAGTGAATCTAGCGAGTTTTGTCTATATAGTTACAGCGAGGATAAGATTGAAAAACACACCTCTTACAACTTCGCATCGACACACCTAGATTTATTCCATCGAGAATACTAGCTGCATATGCACCGAAGAACGTCACCGTTCCGACAATATCTACTGCTACTACTACAATATACGAACAATGTGGGGAATGAAAGAAAAGATTCATATTCAATAATGAGAAATTTATAACAGAGAGGATGTCTCCCTCATTGTCTCTAAAATCAAAGCAACAGCTTCCGCGGAGACCATATCTTCCATGTATTCAAAATCACACAATGTATGGTGTTCCTCTTCAGTGAATTCAACCAGAAGCGGAAACTTCGCACCTGTCGTTCTGCAATGTCCAGATTCCAATTTGATATCTGGAAACTCGATACTTTTTGTGATGGAATCTTCCCATCTGTTATAAACGACCATCACTTGGAAAAGCTCGTGTTGCCCAGTGATCTTCCGAATGTCTTTAAGGGGAATGGAGTGTATTAAGGCATTTTGTATCGAAAATTGCACTGTTTTTATGAGATCTTCGAAATCATTGAGGCTTTTGGATAATAAATTTACGCGTACGGGTAGGCGGTCGAGAAAACAGCCCAGAAGATCTTCAGTACCAGGCTCAGCGCGATCAATATGCGGTATGCCGACGATGACATCTTGAAGTCCTTGAAACTTTGTAAGTGCATCTCCCACAAGAGCGACGTAAAGTGCCATTGATCCCACGAGGGCTTGGGGTTTTTTCAATTTCACAGATTGTGAGTGTCCAACAAAGGATCTAGAACCCTCCACAGGCGATCGAAATAAGGGACTAGGCAAATCGAGTAGATTGTTTCGCCAGTATGCGGCATGTTCATTCCGAGTGAACAAAGATGACTGATGATCTTTCTGCCATTGGGCCCAGATAGTGTAGTCTGGGATTCCCTGTGCAGGCACAGTCCCCCTTGTTTCAGAATCGCTTTCTATGGAATGGAGATACTCATCTCGAATATCTTGCAGAAGCAGCTTCATCGCAACCTTATCCGTAATTATGTGATGTTGCGAAATGATCATATCGACCCATGAACTGTTTTGAGTGATCATGATTCTGGATAGTGGACCAACAGCCAGATCAAACGGTCGGTTTACAAAGCTGCTGATTGAGATCTCAGACACCTTGTCCATGATTACTTCACAGGAAGCATTAGTCTGCTCCCGTGAGATGCTACCATCAATGACTTTAAATAAACTCCGGAGAAGTGGATCATGAGAAGTGGCTCGTGCAATGGCTTTCTCGAATAATCTCAGGTCAATGTCTCCTAATAATCGTAGGTGACAGGTCACATTGAAGGCTTGAGGTGTTGGAGACAATGTTGACAATTTGAAGATCTCTTCTTCAATATGAGAGACACTTCTGTATGGTGGTTTGGCAGTTTTCCAGGTTGAAGTAAAAGACCGCTGATAAGACAGCCCATGTTCATCTGGCAAATGACTTGTAATCTTCTTGCATAATCCCGACAAAGTCGTATTCCAAATGAACAAACCCATGGGCAGTTTTGTGTTCAGTCGACGACTGGCGATTTGAGCTGCTTTGATCTGTGAAAGAGAATTACCTCCGAGTGCCAAAAAGTCCGACTCTGCGTCAAAATCCCGGGTTTCGGGAAGGCCTATCGCTTCGCGCCAAACTTGAGCCATCAAAGACTGGAGTGATGTCAACTGAATTTGACTTGGTTTCCTTGATAGATCCAAATGCGACTGCAATGCTTTGCGATTAAGCTTCTGATTCGGCATCGTAGGTAGAACAGGAAGTGAGAAAATGATCGAAGGGCAAGAATAATCAGGCAATCTGGCTCGAAGGGCTACTTGGAGACCAGAGATATCGACATTTTCTGGCTCAACATACGCAAGAAGGGTTTGATTGCTCACAAGAACTGCTGCCCGATGAACTTGCGGACTGGCAGTCCGAATGACATTTTCGACCTCATTCAACTCAACCCGGTAGCCTCGTATCTTGACCTGGTTATCATATCGTCCCAGAAACCTAGGCTCCATATTCTCTGTCCAGATTGCACAGTCTCCGGTCCGATACATGTGATTTCCAGGCACAAATGGGTCCGAGATGAAATGTGTACGAGAAACAGATTCCATGTCAGCGCCGATATATCCATTGGCAATTTGGATGCCACTCAGGCAAATCTCTCCAGGTACACCAATGGGGACTGGTTGATTCCGGGAATCAAGTAAATAAACTCCAACGCGAGGAATTGATTGGCCCAAGGTAACTTCCTCATATGGATTAAGAAGTTTGAACAAGCACCCGATTGTGCACTCGCATGGACCATAGGAGTTGTAAACAGTTCTATTATTTGTCCAACGGTCTGCAAGAGCCTGCGGAACCGCCTCTCCGGCAAAGAGAATGGTGTCAATATTCGAAAAATCGGAAGGATCCAACACCGAGAGAAATGATGGTGTAATCATAGTTGCATCAACTCGTGATAGATGAGCAAATGGATCTGCTGGATCTACTAGAACAAGAGTAGCTCCGAAGCAGAGTGTTCCAAAAATCTCGGCTTGATTGACATCAAACCCCGGGGAAAACATTTGCGAGTGGCGTCGACCTGGGCGAGCGCCCATGCGAGCAGGCTCATAGGCGAGGTATGAGACCACTGCTTGATGTGGGATCTGAACACCTTTGGGAATACCGGTAGATCCAGATGTGAAGGTGATGTATGCAATGTCCTCTCCCATCACCGTTGTCTCGAGCTGAGGACACATATTCACGCGTTTCTCTTCCAGGATTTTATGCAAAAGGATGTTTTCTTGGAAAATGGATTGGAACTTTGAATGAGAGCATTCGTTAGGGAAAATGCAGAGTCTCACTTCAGCCGTCCGTATCATGCTGTGCATTCTCTGGTGAGGTAATTTCGTATCAAGCGGAACGTAAATAGTTCCAGCTTTCATCACGGCAATGACAGAAATGACCCATTCAAAGCTTCGATCACTAATTATCCCCACAGCATCTCCAGGACTAACGCGGGCTGCAATAATTTGGGCGATATAATTGCCCAGCTGGTCTAGCTCCCGATATGTCATAGACCTGGTGAGCGATTCAACTGCCATTGCTTCTGGCCACTGGTTAACACCTAACTCAAAACTATCCTTGAGATTAGATGGTCCTATGTAGGGATTCAGGAGAGTTGGGGATTTTGTAATGAGAGAGATAAACTCGCTTGGCTCCAACATTCTTTCGCAAACCTGACGTATTGTGTAACATTGAGGATCGAGCAGTGCTAGAAAAATGTTTCGGAAATGGATCATCATGCGCTGCATAACTTTTTTCGCATAAATTTCCTGGTTATGTATACCCCGGAGCAGGATATGATCTCCTTCTTGCCGAATAATGACGGTCAAGTCGAATTCTGGAACATCGGCACGAGAGAATTTCCAGGTAGAATCTGTAAGCCCTGGCAAGCTGTACTCCAGAAATAAGGTGGACTGATAAACTCTTGAGTGACTCCCTGGCATTATGGTTTGTAATGCTTCTTGCGATGACCACTGATGTGAGCTGATATCAAGTAGTAGGCGCTGAACGCTTGCAATGAAGTCAAATTTGATATCGCAGTCCACAAGGCTGATTGGAAATGGACATGTATTCAGAGTTGGGCCCACGACTGTGTCGATCCCTTGGAAAGGAAAGTCGCGACCCGAGAAAACAGTTCCGAATATGACCTGATCCTGTGCTGTATAAGACCGTAGCAGAAGGGCCCAGGCAGCATGTATGACTGCAGCCAATGTAACACCCTGTGTTCGACATAAGTATTCAGCCTGAGTTAATTCAAGGTCAACCTCGGCAGTAGTAATGCCGAAGCGCTGCTCGTATATTTCATCCTTCGGCTTTGGAAGGGTCAATGGAACAGCATCGGCAACCTTCGACAGTGCCTCCTTCCAAAATTCCATTTGCTTCTCCATCGGAAGCTTGATCTGTGATAAATTTTGCGAGAACTGCCAGAACTGCGCAGGCATGCCCCTCAAAATCTTTCCCTCCAGAAGTGTTTGGACTTGCTCGATGATGTTACTCATGGACCAGCCATCAATAACGCTATGATGAACAAGCCACAACAAACTGGCATTTGTATTGCTCTTATTCAAAATAAGCCGAAAGATATTGCGAGGCTGGAAGACATTACTATCTGCGTCATGGACTGTGCTTTTGATCAACTCTTCAGATTCACCCAAGAGAGCAAAGGAAAACTTTTCATCAGCCACCCAACGAGTTTCCCAGTCATGATGGTACTCAGGACTGATTTTCTGCATGCCTTCAATCAAATCAAATGTTGTTTTGAATATAGTATGCCGCTCTAGAGCTACCTTCCAGGCGTTTCGAACTTTGTCATTGTATCCCGTTTCGGAATTCCAAGGAAGCTCGATGGTCACCAGCATGTAACTTGTCCCTGGACTTTTGATCGAAGATCTAATCATTCCAATCTGTGTTGCCGTAATCGCGGACGTGATGAAGGAATTATTCTGCATGCTATCCATTGAAGGCACTGACTGTGTCTCTTTTTTGGCACTAACTGGCTCCAGCCGCTTAGACAAAATAGCCAAGGAAACTGGCGCAAATAAATCCTGAAAACTGAGTTCATACCCTTTTTGGCGCAGGCTTGACAACAGCTTGATAGCAAGAAGGGAGTTTCCACCAAGCTCCCAGAAACTGCAATGAGTAGTTACTGAGCCAACGAAATGCCCCAGTGTTTCAGCAACCGTTACTTGAAGTATTTCTGAAGGAGTACCGCTCATAGTATTCGAAAAAATGCTTTCAGATATGGACTTGAAATAGCCTCGCAACTTGATCAAATCTATCTTTCCACTGGATGTGCGACATAACTCTTGCAAGGCGATTATTTGATCAGGAACGACGAACTTATCATGAGAATCAGATAGCTGCAGTCGCATCTCTGTGACATTGATGCTTTCAGGAGTGACAGCTCCCAGCAATCTACCATCGTGCATGAAAGCAGCCGCTGAACATACACCCGGGTATGAAGTCAGGATAGGAAGAACGTCCAAATCGATATTGATAAGGTTACCTCTATTCTTCACCATGCTATCCTCCCGGCCACAAAAAGCAATACCCCAGGGTTCTCTGCGAGCTCGGTCAAGTGTCCGGTACACTCTACTGCCATTCCGCATAATAAATCTTTCAGAAGTCAATGTTTCGTTCTTATAGTACCCAGATCCCAGACCGGGTCCACTGATACAAATTTCCCCCTCATCAGATTCCTCAAGGTGCTCATTTAGAATTAGCAATTCTGTCTCCGCCATCGCTTCTCCAAGAATAATTGGATTTCCAGGTTGCAACTCGGCCATACTGGTACAGATGGTGGCCTCCGTTGGCCCGTAGCAGTTGAAGATTCGCCGTTGTGGGCTCCACCATCGCTCGATCAACGCTAAACTTGGAGATTCACCTCCAAGAAAGATCTTCTTGAGCCGTGGATATCCGTTAGGGTCCCCAAACGTGACAAGGAGCGATGGAGTTGCCGGAAGAATGGTGCAGATCTTTGCGTCCTCCAAAACCCTGTCCGGTTCAGACAGAACTAAAACGCCCCCATAGCAGAGACAGCTGAAGAAAACTCCCCAAGCGGCTAGAACACAAATTTTATTTTAGCATGCTTTCATGTCTTTCAGTTTTCCTGACTGCACTTACCATCAAAAGCAAGAGAGAATAAAAGAAGCACTTTGTCGTTGCTATCAACTCCCAAATTGAAAGGCATACCTCTCTTGTGTCCTTGCATAACATAATTTTCCACACATCGGCGGGGAATAACAACGCCTTTCGGGTTCCCCGTGGTCCCAGAAGTGAAAATGACATATAATGGATTCTCAGAGTCACCAGGGGTATCAAATTCTCCAGTCATGACTGGAACATTCTTGTCGCCCAAAGAAGCATTATATTCGGAACTAACATCTTCTGGGTCGATATTTGGGTACCCTGCGGTATTCAGTCCGCTCAGCTCACATATAATCACGATCTTCGGCTCGACAGATCGCAAAACTGCATCGACTCTCGCTTGGCTCCAAGCGCTGACATCTATAGGCACAAAGCAGGCACCCAGTCGTATCAGCGCCAGAATAGCCGCGACACTCTCCAAAGACCTTGAGAGAAATATCGGTACTGTGTCCTCTTTCCTTATACCACGTGAATTAAAGAACACAGCTAGAAAAGAGGAAGTCGTATCAAGTTGCTCGTAGGTTAAGCTTCTATGTCTCTGAGAGCGGCAATTGAATTTGGCTGATTGCGAGCATTTGCTTTGATCATGTCACATATGGACTGGGGCTGGAGTTTATTTTCCAAAAGGGCTGGTGACTCAGATATAGTGTGTTGGGTCATGTTTGAAAGGCAGTTTGGTTTTTGGACAATCTGAAGTAGAGGTGGGAGGAAGGTACTAGTTAAATTTGCTACAAGTTGGCTTTGGCAATATATTGTTCTTTTACGGAGACTAAACTTCGGTGAATATTTAAGCCTCAGTGACTCGATTCAGACTGCATGATTTAGGCAAAGCCAGATGGGTTTTGAGAACTTCAAAAGACTAAAGCTCAATAAAGGATTCATGAAGCCTTGTCGACTACTCTATGTCTTCAAAGTATGAATTCTCTGCTTCTTCTTGGGATAATAGATTATACCATTTGAAAGATGTACAGCTAATCATAAAAATGTTCAACTAACTGCTAAATTAATTTATTACGGAGTTTTGACAGAAATCTAAGAAAAATCTCTATTGATTCCCCAGGAACTGGGAAAAGCTAAGAGCTTATCATGTTGTAAAAGATAACTCACTTCTAGTAAAACGCAATGAAGAGCCTTCAAAGGGGTAGATATTTGCTGAAATGGAGTAAAAAGCGTGATCACAGCTCAAATGGACTTAAACTTTATGCGTAAGGTATGCCACAACGGACACAGTTCAATACATCGAAAATTTGCCTAATCTGAAAAGTATCAGATAGTGATTACAGCGAAGAGCAAATTTTATTGGAAACAATTTTGTATAAAAAACGACTTCGCGGATGCAGAGCGAGTCCAGAATGAACGGGAGCATGAAAAGGTCCTCGAATTGAGCCTAAACAAACAGGGGCTTCTGCCCCTGGTTCTCTGCTTCGATTTGAGTTGAGACTCCCATTCCAGCGAGAGAACCAGAGAAAATAGCATGGGGAACGTTTTTCAAAATTCCACAGTTGTCACCGGCCACAAAAACACCCTTCTCGGTGGTTTGATAAAAGGGAGGACCTGCTTTGATATCACCACTTGGGGTGAGCTCCAAGCCCAGCTGCTCTGCAAACTGACCATGAAGCTTTGTCGCGGGTGTGTGGGCTATAAATCCTTCTAAAACGCTACTTCCATCCTCGAACTCCACAAGCACGCTTGCCTTCTCAGCTTGCTTGGAGAGGCGCTTGATTACGCGAGAGTCTACCTTCATGACAACTGAAGCTCCAAAATCTGCACTCACTTCCTTGGCTAGATCTTCAGAGCCATTTGTGTAGATTGTGACAGTCTGGGTGAGTGCGGATACTTGCCGAGCGACGTGCAGAGCCCAAGGGGACTTGGAAAGTCCATCAATGGCGAGAACACCAGCTGAAATACAACCTCGCTCCTCGTAACCTTTGCAGAACAGACAGTGAAAACTTTGTAAAAGGTCAGCTCAGAATAGTCCACTAGGTAGTCATCTTGGTGTTGCCTTACATTCCCTTGCCCCAGCACTCAGCGTAGCCGTCAATATTAGGGTAGATGTCTGTGACACCGCTGCAAAGAATGAGCTTCTTGCCATTCCATACATTTCCTTTTTCATCCCTTAGGGTGAAGCCTTCACCTGACACCTTTTTGTTGACGATGGACACAGCGGTTCTCTTAAACTGGATATGGTCATAATTTGAGAGAATATTCTCTATGGCTTTTCCACGGAACTCTGATGGCTTGATGTGATCAAATCCTGGGATCAAATGCATATAGTCCGCGGTGTCATTTCGATAGGTTCCAGCATCAAAAATGATTGAAGTCTGCTGTTGACGAGCGAGAGTGAGGGCAGCGGTAAGACCGGCTGGGCCGCCACCAATGATGAGAGCGTCAGTTGAATCCGCCATTTCCATTGACGAAATGAAGATGAAAGAACAAAAAGTTTGAATCAGACTTATGATAAAAAACGAAGTGAGAAGGTATTTAAAGTAGAGAAGAATATGGTGTCAAATATTTGTTGTTATTTGATTTATTATGGTATCAAGGCAGAGAGAAATGACACAAGTCGTACAGCGCACACTAAGTATCAAGTGGCCCTTGCTTTTAAAGGCCGATTTAATATCCGATAGGAGTAAAATTTACAAAAATACTTTGTATCTTGCATGTCTGTCTTTTATCAAGCTCATGAGCCATTGTGCGCTCGCAAGGTCCCCTGTCACTCAACCTTGAGCGATATTGCCATTATCTAAGCATAAAATCCATCTTAATATCACCTATAAAATACCGAATGTTTGATCAATTTTAGAGAAATGATTTTATCTTATAAAGATGTGAAGATAAAACAATTCACATATTAAATCAATCAATCAATCAATACTCTATTAACCTGATGCAGCCTAACTAGTAGCGTATGGCTATGCAGGCGTTTCCTCCGGCGGAAACAGGAGTATTCCGAACGCCAGAATGTCAAGATAGATACAAAAGAAATGTGGCGTTGCGCCATTGTACACCGAAATCCCATATCCCACTTCTTAAACCGTAACGCCCTCCATGTAATATCGCTTGTAAATCACCTCTCCCCTGTTTCTCCTCTCACCACTCCTTATGTTCTTCTCCACTCCTGTTTTCCTCCTTTTGTTGTTCATTGAAGTTATCGATGTATTCTTCTGAAGCTTCTCGGTAAGCTCTAGGTTTCGTCGTTCCTAACACCTAGCGTCTTCACCCCGCTGCGCCATTCGTAGCTAGTTGTCTTAGTCTCCTCTAGCCTGGGTCTTCGTCTTGTTCAGAGTCAGATCCAGCGTCTATATGTCTAAACTGCCCGAGGAGGCCTGTTTGGATCATGAATTTGGCCATATAGCGGGTGGCTTGCGAGTTTGATACCAATGCATCGTAGTCAGCCAGCTTGTTCATATCCAAGTCCGTCCGTGCCCGGATCTTGGTCAACATCCGCCTCCTCAGGCTCGCGTATAACGGACACTGCAGGAGAACGTGTTTCGGCGTTTAAGACCCTTCTCCGCAGTTACACTCGTCCGAGTCGGCTTCGTTAATCTTAAAGAGGAAGTGCTTAAGAGCAATCCGCATTGATCGCATCTGGATCATCACTGCAGAGTACGCCTTCGGTAACCCCTCGAATCTCCGTAGATTCTTTTTCTCCGGCGCCTTCGTTAGTCTCTGATTCGGTCTGCCAGTTGTTTCCCTCGCCTACTCCTACGCCCATCATGCCCTCGTACGCGCCCGCACCTCGCGTTTTGCGATCGCCATTAGTCTGGTTCCTGGAGCGTGGTCGGAACTAGGAAAACCTTGTTCCGTCCCCGCAATATTCTCCGTAGCCAACTTTGATTCAACATCCGCGCTCTCATTGCTAGGCACACCCGCGTGGGCGCGGAATCCAATGGATTTCGATGGGAATCGTATCGACCGCGGGTGTCTGTCGGAGCGATCGGAGGGTCCGGAAATGGTCATAAATTAAGTCGAGCATGTACTAGCCTGACGATCGCTTTGGGTTTTGGACTGCTTAGATCGCAGCCTGGCAATCAGAGAAGATGACCATCTTTATATACCTGGGGTCATCTATTGAATCCTTCTAGAGTTTGGCGAAGTAGGCAATCGCCATCTCTATCCCGTTGAGCTCCGCAACGTGGACTATTGAGTCATCATTAGTTCCGAGGTGTCTCCTTAGGAACACCCCTTCATTTAGAGCAATGGCCGCGGCGCCAATTTGTCCCTTCTTTCCGCTTCCGTCTGAGTAATAAACCAGTATCTGGTTCTGTCCGCACTCAATATCATATATCGAGGCCTAGGCTACCTCTAGATCTAATTGGATAATATATAGGATCCGTGCCTCCTATGGCGCTAGGACGGACGATTTCTGGGTTTCCTACTTAGTTTCTTGTGTTGCTAGTACACCTCCCTTCCTAAACCGCAGCGCCTCTAGAGGGCTCCATCTGCTTCTTTTTCTTTCCTTATTATTCCTTGCACGGTTCCAGAGGCTTTCTAGGCGAGCCCATTCTGGCCCTGTTTAGATTCGTAATGCTGCTTCCTGAATCATCTAGTCCATCAATAGCTTAACTAGGAGCAGATATAGTTCTATGTTAAGTGCAGCCGCACTTGTTGATTTGAAAGCACCGCTGATCATGATTGCCGCACGTTATTGGATCTTAGTGAATTTGTTACTGATTCGCCGCAGCTCTCCTACTAGGAGCGCTTTTGCTAGTGGACAGTACCATGCTAAGAGCCCATATAGCTAGACATGTGCATGGGTTGGGTATGGGTCAAAATTCATACCCATACCCAACCCATCAGAGGTAAGGTAAACCCATACCCATACCCAACCCAGCCCACGTGGGTATGGGTTGGGTATGGGTCCCATATGGGTATTTTTGATGCCTTAATGCCTGATTTTCGCCTCAACCTAAACTAAATTAGGGTAATTAGTGCCTTAGTGCCTAATTTTTGCCTCAATCTAGTACTAACTAGGTGACAAATATCACGTGAAATAAAAGTCTTGGCAAAAAGATGGGTTTATGGGCTGGGTGTGGGTTTTACTTCAAACCCATACCCAACCCATATGGGTTTTGGGTAAAATTTCTGACCCATACCCAGCCCATTGTGGGTTGGGTTGGGTTGGGTATGGGTTTACCCAACCCAATGAACATGTCTATTTCTGGCGGCCTTATAGATCAGTGCGTCGACGTCGTCGTCTGATCGCCTCCACCTCCTATAAGCCTGTCTCGCTGTTTTGATTACTTCAGTATATTCTGGTGTCCACCCTTAGCGTGTATATTCTAACTGTTTTACCTATAGTATCGATTCCTCGGTACCTCATTACACGACATCGAGTAGGTGGTCGATTGATTCGTTAATCAGTTCTGGTGAGTGCATCCATAGCTTGTTCTTTAGGTTTTCGGATACGAATTTTGTAAATTTGCTAATATCTATCTTCTTCTATTGTCGTCTTCGCGTTTCTGGGATTTTTGGTGTGTTCATTTCGAGTGTGGTTAATATCGGTAGGTGGTCTAAGTCAGTGTGGATCCTCTCTTTTGTTTCGCATGCGATCATACGCTCTCGGAGTGTCACGGGGCGGGCAGGTGAATAGAATTATACTAGAACTGGACAGACAGTATTGCATTAACTGGCAGGCTAAGACGAAGACGTAGCTTGAAGAGCTACATTCAGACAAGGTTCTGAGTTTACATGAGGTTGCGGGTCACGTGGCCCGCACTATCTGTCAAAGGCCCGATTCCATTTATAGTTAGTCTATTTTAGTCAGCATTGGAATCCCATAATGGGATTCCTCCATTCTACAATCTATATACATACACTCTTTGGTACGCATACTGCGTTCTCATTTGCCCACTAGAATCCACTATTCCTTGGTAGTCGACCTCCATTTGACAGTTATGAGCCCGGTTCGCCGACAATTTACCTTGAAAAGCATATTTTAAGGGTAAACGAGACTGAAGACTGTGTCCGCGATGTCCGGCGATATAAGACTGAAAGATGCCTCTCAATGGCAGCAGTGGTATAGGCGAGTCAAAGCCGTAGCCACTGGCGGAGATGTATAGGAATACTGCGATCCAGAGCTTAGGACTGAACGACCAGTCCTAGGATCAGAACCACGCGACTACCCGATCAAACCAATGCTTGAACTCGACATGGATCGTAAAGAGTATGATTGGTTACGACAGGACTAGAAGGACGATGTAGAGGATTACAAGTTCTGTCTTTTATTCTACCAAACCAAGAAGCGAGCAATTAAATCTGTGAATGAATATATCCTAAAGCACTTGGATACACATGTTTAGAGTCTCGTTTTATAATATGATGAACCATTTATGCGACTTAAATTCTTGTATGACCGCTATGGAATCTCGTTAACAAACAGAGCCAGGGTATTCTACTATTGGCATAACTTTGCGGTTACTCCACCTATAGCTAGCGCCGATATTGGCGCCTGGCTTGAAGAATGGGAGCATTCGCGCCTTGAAGCAGAGGTTGAGGGCGTCTCAGCTGCCAAGAATGATGATGCTGTGTGGCTCTTTTTAGAGCTGGTAAAGGATATACTGCCAAACTGGTGGCAGTCCTGGCATGGAAAGATTATAGTTGATCGCGAGCAGATCTCTATGCGTCGCCTTCTAGATCATTTCAAAACCACCTACCAGAATCAAAGACCAAAGCAGCCAGCCATCTTAAAGGGAGCGTTCACGACATTCCAAGGATACCAGGAAACAGCTGGCCAAGCTAGTGCTCCTGCCCCTTATGCTCCTGGCCAACCTAGTGCCCCTGGTCAAGGGAAGAAAGCTCTGGCTAGAGCTTAATTCCTATAGGAGCAGAAAGCAAAACCATTTAAAGATAGGGCATGCCTATGTGGTTGTAGCTACCCTGTCGATAAGTGCTTCAACTTAAATGGTAAAGGCAGCAGAAAGCTAAATGCTGGCATGAAACAGAAGATAAAACAGGCCCTGGACGGGGATTTAGGCTGGAAACAGTGGATCGACACTAAACTAAAAGAATCCACCAACACCAGTAATACCCCAGCCGAGCCAGCCAGGCAATCTATAGCCGTAAACCATACTACCAACTATACTACAAAACCAGTGTTTTTCGTATCTTAAACTACCTATGCTGCCGATTTAAGCGATAGTATATAGCTCGCAGGCACTGCCGAAGACCAGTTTCTCGGCCGAAATACTGCAATCTCAGACACTCTAGATATAGCTTCAGATACTCTGAATACTCTAGACATAGTTTCAGATACTCTGGACACCATTCCAGACCTCTCTAGTACATTTATAGACTCTATATTTCTGTAGAAATCAGCTTTCCTGACCTAGTCTGGTCAGGAGCTCTAGAAAGATAGCTGGGTGCTAGACATAGGCGCTAGTGTGTATGTCTGCAACAACTTAGGTGCATT